TTGCCTTGCGTCCACTGCAGGCCTTCACCGCCTTCACCGCCCGTTCACTGAGTAAGCAATCCGCCCTCGTCGCCTCGCCTCGCCCGCCTAGCCTCGCCCCAGGCGCCCTCCTCGCCTCGCTCCATCCGTTTGCATTGCAGGGCCAGCCCAGGCCGTGCGTCATCACTCGCCTCTCCCCGTCGCCCACGCTGCTTCCACTGCTCCTCCATGCTTTCTGCTGCTGCCGGCCCATAGGTGTGCTGGCAGAGGGGTGTAGGCAGAGGGAAGCAGGCAAAGGGATGCTGGAAGGAAGAGCGGAGAGGAGGGGAACAAGTGGACGAAGCAGAGAAGGGGGGTGAGAAGGAATGCGATTAGCATGGCAGAATGGAAAAACGGCACGCATGCAAGCAAGGAAAATGGAAGGATGCAAGCAGTGAGAGTGCGTGAGTGGCGTGAGTGGCGGTGGCATTGGGTGGAAGCGGGTGGTGGCAGCTGCAGGGCGGGCACCAAGGACAATACCGTACCTTACCACACCTGACCACACCTGGGGAGGGTCCCTTGGTGCCGCCCGTGAGAGCGGCGAGAGGAGGAGGAGGGCGAGAGCGCAAGCAAGCAGTGCAAGGCACGCGTGGGAGCGGGTGAGTGGTGCGTGCACAGTGCGAAATCCGTGAAATAGCTTAGCCGGATTGAAGAGGGTCGAAGGAGCATGCAGGCGTGCTCCCCTTGCATGCGTGCGGCACCCACACGGCCGTGCGCCTCTCCTTGCCGCCACACTCCTCCTGCTGACGCAGCGCCACTCAGAGACGGCACGGTCGGTCGCGCCGGTTCTGCCGGGAGGTTGGGCGAGGGCAGTGGTCAGCAGGGCCAGCCCAGGCCGTGCGTCATCCCACCACTCGCCTCTCCCACCCCACTCGCCACGCTGCTCCCACTGCTCCTCCACGCTTTCTGCTGCTGCCGGCCTGTAGGTGTGCTGGCAGAGGGGTGTAGGCAGAGGGATGCTGCGATTAGAATGGTGTACTCAAGTGACAGCACGGAAAAACGACACGCATGCAATCAACGAAAGGATGCAAGCAGTGAGAGTGCGTGAGTGGCGTGAGTGGCGGTGGCATTGGGTGGAAGCGGGTGGTGGCAGCTGCAGGGCGGGCACCAAGGACAATACCGTACCTTACCACACCTGACCACACCTGGGGAGGGTCCCTTGGTGCCGCCCGTGAGAGCGGCGAGAGGAGGAGGAGGGCGAGAGCGCACGCAAGCAGTGCAAGGCACGAGTGCGAGCGGGTGAGTGGTGCGTGCACAGTGCGAAATCCGTGAAATAGCTTAGCCGGATTGAAGAGGGTCGAAGGAGCATTTGTGCTCCCCTTGGATGCCCTCCCTGCACTCCCTGCCGCGCGTTTGTGTGCCTCCTTGAGTGCGCTCTGCTCCCTGAGAGGCGAGCAGTGGTCAGCTCTGCTCCCTGAGAGGCGAGCAGTGGTCAGCAGCAGCAGTGTTGCCCGCCGTGCGTCATCCCACTTCCGCCCTCTGCTGGCTCTGCACGAGGAGCAACCAGGCACAGCGGCAGAGAGCACAAGAGCGAGTGGCAGTGAGAGCAAGAACAGGTGGCAGAGAGCAAGAACAGGTGACACCAACGCCCGGGACAAACGAATGAACGAAAGAACGAATGGTAAACACAGTGGAGCGACAAGTGAGTGAAGGCGCAGAAAAACAAGTCGAAGAAAACAAGTCGAACGAACGAACGAACAAACGAACGAACGAACGAACGGTCAACACAGTGGAGTGACAAGTGAGTGATAGAAAGCGCATGACGACAGTGGGCCAAGGGCACCGAAGCAGCGAGCTGAGGCAGCGAGGGGGGACTGGGGACGCGCGCATGGCATGAGTGCAATGCTATCCTAAGCCACACCCACTGGACTCCGTGGACTGGACTGGACTGGACTCTACATGAGCCCAGCTGCCATAATGCGCCCTGACCCACCGCCGCCATGCGCCTCACAGGAACACGTGTGCGACAACACAACACAACACAGTGGTGCGGAGTGGTGTAGAAACACAACAGAGTTGTGTAAGGGTTGAGGAGGGAACTTAGCCGGGTTCAGAATCTGCTCGTTGCTTGCCGATCGTCGTTTTCCGCACTCGCCGCATTTCTCCACACGTTCCGTTTCGCCATCCACCACATCAACGCCTCTCCCCGCAGTTGGCAGCGCCGCTCCCCGCACCTCGTCGCAGCTCCCACTCGGCTACGATCGCAGGCCCGCTCTGGTGTCGCAGCATCCGCGCACAGTCGCACGGGGAAGGTCGCACGCAGTTGGTCGCCGACTTCCGCACGGCCTCGCACGTATTAGTCGCCATCTTCGCACACGGACGCGCGCGATACGTCGCATGCAGTTCGTCGCACGTCGTCGAATGCAATCGAGCCGCGCCGGCACGCGAAATGTCGCACGCGGTAAGTCGCCATCTTCCGCACACGGACGCGCGCGATACGTCGCATGCAGTTCGTCGCACATCGTCGCATGCAATCGAACCGCGCCGACACGCGAAACGTCGCACGCGGTAAGTCGCCATGTTCAGCACACGGACGCGCGCAGTACGTCGCATGCCGTTTGTCGCACGTCGTCGCATGCATCCGAACAGCGCCGGCACGCGAAACGTCGCAGGCGGTAAGTCGCCATCTTCCGCACACGGACGCGCGCGGTACGTCGCATGCCGTTCGTCGCACATTGCTGCATGTCGTTCGTCACACAACGTCGCACGCCGATCGTCGCACGCGGTAAGTCGCCATCATCCGCACACCGTCGCACGAAGAGCACCTTCCGCGGTACCTCGCATGCCGTTAGTCGCACGTCGTCGTACGCGCCATGTCGCCCAGCATCCGAACGGCGCCGCATGCGGAACGTTGCACGCGTGAAGTCGCCATCTTCCGCACACCGTAGGCGGTTGGTCGCACGCTTTGTCGCCGTCTTCCGCATGGTTGCGTGTAATTCGAAATTCACCACTTGCCGCTACACGATCGCCGCACGTTGCCAGCCGCTGACAGTTCGTCGCTAGCTGTTCGCCATTCGCTGCTCGTTCGTCATTCGCTAGTCGCCAATCGTCGCTACCATCATTGCTCGTCCGCTCGTCTTTCGCCGCTCGTCAGGTTGCACCCCGTTGCTCGGAGTAGTTAACCCATTAGTTTCCGTCTCTGTGTCGTGTGTCACTGTGTCGCCGTGAGTCACCGTGACGCCGGATGCCGGTTGCCTTGAGACTGCTCCGTCGTCCCGAAGGTGCTTCAGATTCACTCGCCATTCTGACCATTACGGTGCCAATCTGACGTGAAAACCGTCGACCCTGTTGGAAACTGCCGTAGTAACACTCCGCGCTTCCAGTGCTGCCTGAAGATGCTAACAGAAGCGGTTCGTATGCCATCCCTGACACCGTGCTGCTTCACGTATCATAATGCCTTGATTCAACGTCCGGCTTTCGGCGACCATAGCAGCTATCGGCGAGTAGTTGGATGTACGACCATTTCGGAACGACGCTTAAACGGAACGGAAGCGACATACGCTTCAACTAGAGCGGTGGAAACCTTATCAGGAAACACCCGTCACGGACCATGTTGCTGAGCTGAAACTATTGGCTAGAAGTCAGTTTAACAGAATCTAGATGCTGAAAAATAATAGGTGGGATTGCCTTAGCGGTTACGGAAAATAACTACTGCGGTTATAAGCTAAGAGGCGAGCGGTTATAAGCTATTTGCTGACACGGCTCTACCAGTTCTGCCACTGAAACAGGCTTATCGAGATAAGCTACTGCTGTCAAGAATTCTCTAAATTTTCTTGAGAATGTGATCTAATCGTAGTAACCTACATCTCTGAGAGATTTCGACAGGAGCCATGGCGAGCTGAGAAAGCCATGGAAACAAGCTCGAGCTAACGCTGACTAGAGAGAATCAGTGAAATGAATCAAGGAACTGGAATTCGGCAGAGGTGACTGGAATGGCCTTGGGAATGTCGCCTGGGGAAGCGAGGTGGGGAGGGAAGGTGGGGAGGTGATTTGCCTTCAGTATAATGGCACTGTACCATGGCCATGTGGCGTTCGGCAGGCCCAAGGGGGGACGCCGCATGGTCATGTGCTGACTGACACGCGGGGCGGGGTGGGGCTCCAGCGTTTTCCGCCGGAAGGGGGGAAAATGGCGGAAGTGACAGAGTCAGCGGCGCGCCCGAATGTATCGACGGGGAATCAATCGTTTTCGCCAGAATGGAAAGCATAATGCGAACGTAGTGCTTGGCTTCTGCGAAGGGTAACTGCGCTTTGTGCCGTCAAGCTCTGACAACTTTCCGACTTCCGGTGCCCAAGGCTGCGCACCTTGAATTCGAGAGGGAGCCAATCTCCGCGACCCTTCCTGCACCTGCGCAGCGCACTGTTTACAGAGTTTGCGCGGGAGCTCCGCAGGGAAATTTTCGCTAAGCACCCTACACCACTGAGTGGATTCATTATCGAATTCATTAGCAGAGCTGTACACACACACAGTTGAAAACAAGATGGCCTCAATAAATTACATGACTACCAGATGACAAGCTGGCTTGGCAGTGGGTCAAGAGAAGAGGATGGGTACCTGGCACCTGGAGCTAGCAATTGCATATAGAGCACGATATCGCCGCGTAAGCCGCTTCCGCGTCGTACTCTTGTAACGATTCTAAACCAACGTCCGTACGTCGGCGTGTATCCTTGTAACGAGGATTGCCTGTGCCAGTAACAAATGCGCGTAATCTGTTCACTCGCGTGCGCCGCGTGGAGTTGACGTGAGCACCGACAAGGCGAGACAATCAGAGGCTTGACGACACTGCCGCAGCGCGGTTTTTGAGTCTGCTAAAACTAGTGACTAGGGCACGGCGCGTTCGAAATATAGTTTAGGAGGTAACATGGAAGTGCGGTGCGGATCGTTGCGCAGAAGAAAGCCAGCGAAAACGTATCGCCAATGTGAAGTCTCAACTTGAGTGCAGAAGGATATACACCAGCAATCATAATCCTCCTCCTGCTCAGCACTAAGCCTCGCATGTGGCTGTGAGGCGGCCAATCACGTGCGACAGCACCTCTTTCTTCGACAGCCTGTAAGCCAAAGCTGCCTCCCAGTCCGCCAGCTCACGCACAAACTCAGGCGGGCACATGAGCGGCTTGTCTCCGGGGTACGTCCCATACAGCACCTGCACCTTGCACGCCTGCACCACAAACATGCGCTGCAGGTCCCCCTCACGCGTCGTCCCCATGGCCTTGAGCATCTGTTTCGCGCGCTCGAGAATGCCCGTGCCGGCTGCGGGGATGGAGTCCCCGAGGTTGTCGGGGAGCGATGCGGCGTAGTCGTCGCACGTGGTCTTGGGGTCGCGCAGCCAGCTGTACTCCACTGCTGGCCGCGCCAGCTCTGAATACTTGGGGGCTGCGGGGGAGAGGAAACGACAAGGGGGAAGAAAAGGCAGGGGGAGAGAAAGGGAAAAGGGTGAGAGATGTACTACACTGCTGGCCGTGCAAAAGCTGCGTAATCTGGAGCTGTGGGGGAGAGGAAGAGAGAGAGAGTGAGAAAGAGGGGAAAAAGGGTGAGTGATACGGGGAAAGAGGAGGTGGGTGACGGGCAGCAGAAACGCAGGGGGAGGCAGTGAGCCAGGTGATCGCAGTCTGAAGTTGGAAAGGAGGCAGATGGGGGTAGAAGAGGAGGCATGCAGAGACGGGAAGCGAGGTGGGCTGAGAAAGGGAGGGAGGCATAGGACAGATCTCACCTTCCTTGTTCATCACGTGCGCATGGAGGGCTGCCAGACCTCCCAGCAGCCTCGGATCAAGCCTTCCGCCGAACCAGACTCTCAGGCTCGCCTGTGTGTCGATCCTGAACTCTGGCTCGTCCGGTATGCCCTTGTACCAGTCCTTGGTCACCTCGGCCTTGAGCGCCTTCTCCATGTCAGCAAAGACCTGCTCCACGTCAGTCTGCATGCATGCCACGTGGAGGGGAGAGGAGGTAAAACTACATGAGCATACCGAAGGAAACAGCATCCAGTGTCATGGCCTGAACAAGAACGTTCATACCTCCATTCCCTCCCAGTGCCGTACATCCATGCACTCCACACTGCCTACAGCCAGCTCCCCACACTGCCTACCGTCATGCTCCCCACACTGCCTACCGTCATGCTCCCCACACTGCCTACCGTCATGCTCCCCACACTGCCTACCGTCATGCTCCCCACACTGCCTACCGTCATGCTCCCCACACTGCCTACCGTCATGCTCCCCACACTGCCTACCGTCATGCTCCCCACACTGCCTGCCGTCATGCTCCCCACACTGCCTACCGTCATGCTCCCCACACTGCCTACCGTCATGCTCCCCACACTGCCTACCGTCATGCTCCCCACACTGCCTACCGTCATGCTCCCCACACTGCCTACCGTCATGCTCCCCACACTGCCTACCGTCATGCTCCCCACACTGCCTGCCGTCATGCTCCCCACACTGCCTACCGTCATGCTCCCCACACTGCCTACCGTCATGCTCCCCACACTGCCTACCGTCATGCTCCCCACACTGCCTACCGTCATGCTCCCCACACTGCCTACCGTCATGCTCCCCACACTGCCTACCGTCATGCTCCCCACACTGCCTACCGTCATGCTCCCCACACTGCCTACCGTCATGCTCCCCACACTGCCTACCGTCATGCTCCCCACACTGCCTACCGTCATGCTCCCCACACTGCCTACCGTCATGCTCCCCACACTGCCTACCGTCATGCTCCCCACACTGCCTACCGTCATGCTCCCCACACTGCCTACCGTCATGCTCCCCACACTGCCTACCGTCATGCTCCCCACACTGCCTACCGTCATGCTCCCCACACTGCCTACCGTCATGCTCCCCACACTGCCTACCGTCATGCTCCCCACACTGCCTACCGTCATGCTCCCCACACTGCCTACCGTCATGCTCCCCACACTGCCTACCGTCATGCTCCCCACACTGCCTACCGTCATGCTCCCCACACTGCCTACCGTCATGCTCCCCACACTGCCTACCGTCATGCTCCCCACACTGCCTACCGTCATGCTCCCCACACTGCCTACCGTCATGCTCCCCACACTGCCTACCGTCATGCTCCCCACACTGCCTACCGTCATGCTCCCCACACTGCCTACCGTCATGCTCCCCACACTGCCTACCGTCATGCTCCCCACACTGCCTACCGTCATGCTCCCCACACTGCCTACCGTCATGCTCCCCACACTGCCTACCGTCATGCTCCCCACACTGCCTACCGTCATGCTCCCCACACTGCCTACCGTCATGCTCCCCACACTGCCTACCGTCATGCTCCCCACACTGCCTACCGTCATGCTCCCCACACTGCCTACCGTCATGCTCCCCACACTGCCTACCGTCATGCTCCCCACACTGCCTACCGTCATGCTCCCCACACTGCCTACCGTCATGCTCCCCACACTGCCTACCGTCATGCTCCCCACACTGCCTACCGTCATGCTCCCCACACTGCCTACCGTCATGCTCCCCACACTGCCTACCGTCATGCTCCCCACACTGCCTACCGTCATGCTCCCCACACTGCCTACAGCCAGCTCCCCACACTGCCTACCGTCATGCTCCCCACACTGCCTACCGTCATGCTCCCCACACTGCCTACCGTCATGCTCCCCACACTGCCTACCGTCATGCTCCCCACACTGCCTACCGTCATGCTCCCCACACTGCCTACCGTCATGCTCCCCACACTGCCTACCGTCATGCTCCCCACACTGCCTGCCGTCATGCTCCCCACACTGCCTACCGTCATGCTCCCCACACTGCCTGCCGTCATGCTCCCCACACTGCCTACCGTCATGCTCCCCACACTGCCTACCGTCATGCTCCCCACACTGCCTACCGTCATGCTCCCCACACTGCCTACCGTCATGCTCCCCACACTGCCTTCCGTCATGCTCCCCACACTGCCTACCGTCATGCTCCCCACACTGCCTACCGTCATGCTCCCCACACTGCCTACCGTCATGCTCCCCACACTGCCTACCGTCATGCTCCCCACACTGCCTGCCGTCATGCTCCCCACACTGCCTACCGTCATGCTCCCCACACTGCCTACCGTCATGCTCCCCACACTGCCTACCGTCATGCTCCCCACACTGCCTACCGTCATGCTCCCCACACTGCCTACCGTCATGCTCCCCACACTGCCTACCGTCATGCTCCCCACACTGCCTACCGTCATGCTCCCCACACTGCCTACCGTCATGCTCCCCACACTGCCTACCGTCATGCTCCCCACACTGCCTACCGTCATGCTCCCCACACTGCCTACCGTCATGCTCCCCACACTGCCTACCGTCATGCTCCCCACACTGCCTACCGTCATGCTCCCCACACTGCCTACCGTCATGCTCCCCACACTGCCTACCGTCATGCTCCCCACACTGCCTACCGTCATGCTCCCCACACTGCCTACCGTCATGCTCCCCACACTGCCTACCGTCATGCTCCCCACACTGCCTACCGTCATGCTCCCCACACTGCCTACCGTCATGCTCCCCACACTGCCTACCGTCATGCTCCCCACACTGCCTACCGTCATGCTCCCCACACTGCCTACCGTCATGCTCCCCACACTGCCTACCGTCATGCTCCCCACACTGCCTACCGTCATGCTCCCCACACTGCCTACCGTCATGCTCCCCACACTGCCTACCGTCATGCTCCCCACACTGCCTACCGTCATGCTCCCCACACTGCCTACCGTCATGCTCCCCACACTGCCTACCGTCATGCTCCCCACACTGCCTACCGTCATGCTCCCCACACTGCCTACCGTCATGCTCCCCACACTGCCTACCGTCATGCTCCCCACACTGCCTACCGTCATGCTCCCCACACTGCCTACCGTCATGCTCCCCACACTGCCTACCGTCATGCTCCCCACACTGCCTACCGTCATGCTCCCCACACTGCCTACCGTCATGCTCCCCACACTGCCTACCGTCATGCTCCCCACACTGCCTACCGTCATGCTCCCCACACTGCCTACCGTCATGCTCCCCACACTGCCTACCGTCATGCTCCCCACACTGCCTACCGTCATGCTCCCCACACTGCCTACCGTCATGCTCCCCACACTGCCTACCGTCATGCTCCCCACACTGCCTACCGTCATGCTCCCCACACTGCCTACCGTCATGCTCCCCACACTGCCTACCGTCATGCTCCCCACACTGCCTACCGTCATGCTCCCCACACTGCCTACCGTCATGCTCCCCACACTGCCTACCGTCATGCTCCCCACACTGCCTACCGTCATGCTCCCCACACTGCCTACCGTCATGCTCCCCACACTGCCTACCGTCATGCTCCCCACACTGCCTACCGTCATGCTCCCCACACTGCCTACCGTCATGCTCCCCACACTGCCTACCGTCATGCTCCCCACACTGCCTACCGTCATGCTCCCCACACTGCCTACCGTCATGCTCCCCACACTGCCTACCGTCATGCTCCCCACACTGCCTACCGTCATGCTCCCCACACTGCCTACCGTCATGCTCCCCACACTGCCTACCGTCATGCTCCCCACACTGCCTACCGTCATGCTCCCCACACTGCCTACCGTCATGCTCCCCACACTGCCTACCGTCATGCTCCCCACACTGCCTACCGTCATGCTCCCCACACTGCCTACCGTCATGCTCCCCACACTGCCTACCGTCATGCTCCCCACACTGCCTACCGTCATGCTCCCCACACTGCCTACCGTCATGCTCCCCACACTGCCTACCGTCATGCTCCCCACACTGCCTACCGTCATGCTCCCCACACTGCCTACCGTCATGCTCCCCACACTGCCTACCGTCATGCTCCCCACACTGCCTACCGTCATGCTCCCCACACTGCCTACCGTCATGCTCCCCACACTGCCTACCGTCATGCTCCCCACACTGCCTACCGTCATGCTCCCCACACTGCCTACCGTCATGCTCCCCACACTGCCTACCGTCATGCTCCCCACACTGCCTACCGTCATGCTCCCCACACTGCCTACCGTCATGCTCCCCACACTGCCTACCGTCATGCTCCCCACACTGCCTACCGTCATGCTCCCCACACTGCCTACCGTCATGCTCCCCACACTGCCTACCGTCATGCTCCCCACACTGCCTACCGTCATGCTCCCCACACTGCCTACCGTCATGCTCCCCACACTGCCTACCGTCATGCTCCCCACACTGCCTACCGTCATGCTCCCCACACTGCCTACCGTCATGCTCCCCACACTGCCTACCGTCATGCTCCCCACACTGCCTACCGTCATGCTCCCCACACTGCCTACCGTCATGCTCCCCACACTGCCTACCGTCATGCTCCCCACACTGCCTACCGTCATGCTCCCCACACTGCCTACCGTCATGCTCCCCACACTGCCTACCGTCATGCTCCCCACACTGCCTACCGTCATGCTCCCCACACTGCCTACCGTCATGCTCCCCACACTGCCTACCGTCATGCTCCCCACACTGCCTACCGTCATGCTCCCCACACTGCCTACCGTCATGCTCCCCACACTGCCTACCGTCATGCTCCCCACACTGCCTACCGTCATGCTCCCCACACTGCCTACCGTCATGCTCCCCACACTGCCTACCGTCATGCTCCCCACACTGCCTACCGTCATGCTCCCCACACTGCCTACCGTCATGCTCCCCACACTGCCTACCGTCATGCTCCCCACACTGCCTACCGTCATGCTCCCCACACTGCCTACCGTCATGCTCCCCACACTGCCTACCGTCATGCTCCCCACACTGCCTACCGTCATGCTCCCCACACTGCCTACCGTCATGCTCCCCACACTGCCTACCGTCATGCTCCCCACACTGCCTACCGTCATGCTCCCCACACTGCCTACCGTCATGCTCCCCACACTGCCTACCGTCATGCTCCCCACACTGCCTACCGTCATGCTCCCCACACTGCCTACCGTCATGCTCCCCACACTGCCTACCGTCATGCTCCCCACACTGCCTACCGTCATGCTCCCCACACTGCCTACCGTCATGCTCCCCACACTGCCTACCGTCATGCTCCCCACACTGCCTACCGTCATGCTCCCCACACTGCCTACCGTCATGCTCCCCACACTGCCTACCGTCATGCTCCCCACACTGCCTACCGTCATGCTCCCCACACTGCTGTACCCCCATGTGCCCCACTGCTGTACCGCCATGCCAGCACCGTACCTCCATGAACGATTCCCAATGCGTCCGGAAGTAGTGCCTTCCAAAAATATCAATTGCGACCTCAGGGTACTCAAACACGTCCGTGCTGTCACGGTAGTTGGTCACCAGCGCCATGGCCTACTTTCCTTCCATACCTCCACGCCGCACCAGCACCAAACCTCAACGCCCCCCCAATTCCATACCTCCGTGAACGATTCCCAGTGCGTCCGGAAGTAGTGTCAATGGAACTCAAACACGTCCGCGCTGTCACGGTAGTTGGTGACCTCCTCCCTCCCTCCCCCCTACCTGCACGGCCACCCAGAGGCATACCTCCATGAACGATTCCCAATGGGTTCTGAAGTAGTGCCTTCCAAAGAAGTCGATGGCAACCTCGGGGTACTCGAAAATGTCCGCACTGTCACGGTAGTTGGTTGCCAGCGCCATGCCGCGCATCAGCAGCGCCTCGTCGTTTGACAGAAGTCCGGATTCCACGCTCACGTGCTGGCCCTGGGAGATGTTGGCCGTGGCTGTGAACGTGATGTGCGTGTCGTTGGCCTGGTGGAAAGGGATTGGCAACAGAGGGTTGGGCAACCCGCAATCGCAAGGGTTTGACGAGAGTCCTGGCTGTGGTGGTGAGTGCAGGGCAAGACGAAGAGGTTAGGGAGTAGGGGTGATATGCTGGCTCGCTGAGAACCAGTTTAAAATGACTTGCACGTGGCACCCACCAGCCACATGGCGACAGGGTCGTTGCTGTGTCAAACAGATCCGCGTAGGGAAAGAGAAATGTCTCCGTGGCATTGCTCACGCTGCATTCATATATTAACTTGCTGATAGGAAACTCAGAACGGCTTGCACACGGCTTGCACACGGCACCAGCTCTCACTCACCAGCCACATGGCGACGGGATCGTTGTCCGTGTCAAACAGGTCCGCATAGGGGAACAGCACTGTCTCTGTAACGTTGCTCGTGCCACTGCTAGTGCTGTTGCTGCTGCTGCTGTTGGCCGCACTGCCATCACTGCTGCCACTGGAATCACCGGTGGCAGTGCTGTTACTTGCAGGGAGTGTGAACATCCGCGAGGTGACCATGCCCACCGCCCACTGGAACTCCTCCTCGCTTGCACTCGCTATGGCTTCCGGTCGGCACTTTTTGTACTCTTCTTTAAGCATCCGATTGTGCTCTGCGGTCTGTGGCACACGTTGCAGAGAAGGAGTTGGGACGGGCGTTGGTGAGGCACAATCGAGGATATATGGCTCGGTTGAGATGGTATTGGGGACAAGTGCTTGGGTGAGTGAGACAGACTTGCCACATGGCAACGGAGACGTGATTTCAGTGGATAAGATACAAGACAGGGGAGGATGGTTGGGGGAGTTGGAGCTCACAGCCAAGAGCAGTGACTGGGATTGGAGTTCGGTGCGAAGGCGGTCGGAGAAGAGGTGGGGGAAGGGCAGGTGGGCGGGCAGCAGGCGCACGAAGGGCGCCCAATGGGACGCGCGCCCCTTGCCCCGCTCCCTCAGCACCCACGCCGCCAGCGCCGTGAATGGATGCACCTGGGGGGTGGGGGAGGAACGGGGGAAAGACAGAGATGTTGATGAGGGGAGGGGAATGGCCGCCAGCGCCGTGAATGGATGTACCTGGGGAAGGGTGGGTGGGGCAAGGGTGGTACGGGTGAAGGGTGATGCACCTGGCGGTGTGTGCAGGGAGGAGGGGGTGATGGGCGGATTTGTGTGTAGGGGGGATAGAAACAGGGACTGGAGGCACTTTAAAGGAAGGGATACTGCGTGGGGGATGGCCGTTAAGAGACGTTCAATTGTCTAATTCTCCGGACCATTATTTGGCCAATATTTGATTGGTGCTACTGCGTCTGCTGCGTCTGCGTCTTCTCACTCACCTCTCCCTCATACGGCTTTGCCTCTTCCTGCGCGTGAGATTCGGAGAGAGCGAGCGAGCGAGGCAGCGACAGAAACACCTCGCCCTCCGCGATGGGGCGCCGCGCCACCATGCGGAGATTCGCTCTGATGGTGGGTGGGGTGAGGATGGCAGGGGAAGAAAGGGGGAGGAGGAGGGGGAGGGGTAGGGGGATGTGGGGTGGGGTGATAGCCAAGGTGGGGGTAAGAAGTGCATACTTTTTAAGCTGGGAAAAAGGAAGGATGGGAAGAAAGACTGGGAAAGATGTGCTGGGAAGAATTGAAGGTACAAAACATTTGAAAGAAGGCAACAGCCATTCCTTGGAGAATCACAAGCTGCAATGAGCCACCTCCTATGTTTTCAGTTAGTTTCTTCCAAATTGATTTGACTTGACTCACCTTGACCTGCTGGAAGCCTTGAGGGTGGTGTTGGCGTCAATGAATACCTGCACGCGTGCAAATGGTTCGCACAGGTTGGGTCAGTGAGATGATTGCTCGATTTCCTGACAAGGAAAACGTCCACCTTAGAGTCATTGCCAACCGTTCTACACATTTTCACTCGTTCTGAGACCAGCCAATGTTTCTGCTGTAGCTTATTTTTCCCAATGCTTTCATTTAGAACACCGCCAACCATGGCATCCATAGAATGCTCGTCACACTTCACCTCACCTTAATCGCCGCATCCTCGTCTCTAATCCCTGTCACGCCTTTCTCCTCCAGCCACGTCAGCAGCTCGTCCACCAACCGCTCCTCCTCCTCAATTCCCGCTAATTTTGAATTGAAACCCTCCGGCCCCGCTGCGCCTGTCGCCGCGTCTGCCGCTCTGTTCGCCGCAGGAATATCATCCGTCGAAACGAATTGATCCGCGGCTGCTCCCACTCCCAAACCCGGGCCTGTGCCGACACTATCTCCTAAATCTGCGGCTTCAGCGGCGGCGGCGGCAGCGGCTATGCCTGACTGAGAAGGATTTGACGGATCAATGCGCACAGGGGGTTCGGCTGACGAAGCTGAGGAGGATCGGAGCATGAAGAGTAAGAGTAGTAGAAGAATATGCATGACGGGGCTGTGGATGATGGTTGTCGAGATTGACGTGCGATGCGATGCCGCGGCCATGCCGCGTGCAGTCAGTGAATAATCTGGTGATCCGTTGGTGATCAGGGAGGGATCCGTGTGCAATTGATGTGCTGGAGTTTAGTGATCGCTTCGCAGCAGCGGAAAGTGCGACGAAATCAGGCTGAACCGGCTCGGCGAGCTCGAATAACATGCGATCTTCGGTTGTGCCGTTACGAGCTACGTGGCGCGACACGCTAAATCGTTGGATGGTGCGAATAGCGAGAGAAGGCTATGAATGCTCGAAGGAGGGTGGTATAATCTCCAGCGAGCCACGCAATGGGAGAGCCACAATCAGGTGAAGTCCCAAGGTCTTTGAAGTGAACGAGTAGAACTCAAGGTAGCCATATGCGAGCTCAAGATTGCTGCTGATGAACGGGAAAGCCCGAGGGAGAATAGCGTGATGGAGCACGCCAGAAGTTGGCTGATTGGACGACTTGGCAAGTCGCGTCCTGATGTGCAGGGAATGAAGACACATCACTTCCTGCTGGGAATATTCCAGGTCCACCGACACGAATTTTACCACATATCCACCTACAGTTGCACAATCCCAGTATCATAAAATCAGTATATGTTTTTACAGGTGAGTCTAGTGCTTGCACATGAAAGGTATGTCCCCAGTATTCTGCGATTTATGCTGAGATATACCAGCCAATGTCGTCAGTTCAATAGTTGCGAATGCGCAGGTTTTTTACAGGCAGACTACCAAAAAAACGCAGTTATTGGTTCATTCTCTGGGAGCTAATATCATTAAATTAGCGTGCAAATATGAAGTCACTATACCCGCATTTAGCAATAACCCTCATCATGATTGTATCCCCAAGTCAGATGCACCAGCATCAAGTACTAGGCCCTCCACTTCTCCACACCACGCGGTATGAGTGACTAAACACTCACTCCACTGAACTGTATGATTGTACCATACATGAAAACTGCTGGCCATTTAATCAGAGTAACTAGCCACGGCAGCAGCAGAGCAGAGGCAGAGGGCGGTGAGAGTGAAGGCCATGAGCAGCAGCAGCAGAATGCTCCACACCACGTGCCGGCTCACCCACACCCTCTCTGCCCACTCCACCCCCCGCGACACTGACCCACCCCTGCTGCTCGACCGTAGAGCACACACAAGGGGGGAGCGGCGGCGGGGACGCATAGGCGAGAACTGATGGGGTGACGCATGCAGGGGTGGTGACTGCTGGGGCGAGGGTTGCTGAGGGGTGGAGGATAGGAGGGGTGAAGAGTGCTCCTCCAAAGAGAGCGAGTTTGAACGGATCAATAACGTTGGGTCTGTGGCTGCCTCTGCTCCTGCTGACGCACCCTCTGCTGCTCCTCCTGCCTGTGCCACAGCCCCTGCTTCTCCCCCGCCCCCCCCGAGACTCTGCTCCGCACTGGAAACTCCTTTCCCCTCTGCCTCTGCCTCTGCTTCCTCCTCGCAGCACACTGCGCATACGCAGCCGCCGGCCAGCCTAGCTGGCACGCTGAAGTGGAGTCCAAAGAGATCAGAGAGTGCTGACGTGGTGGAAGATCCGCCAGCAATGATCTGTATCTTGCTGCGTGTGGTTGAGCTAAGCAGCTGGCGGATGGGAGAGAAGGGGAGGTGAAGGGGAGGAGAGGGGAGGGGAAGGGGAGGGGGGGGGAGGGGAGGGGAGGGGAGGGAAGGGGGGGCGGAGGGGAAGGGGAGGGCAGGGGAGGGGAGTCGACAGGTAGCAGGCAAGCAGCAAGATGAACAGGAGAACAAAACACCTAGCACCCCCACTCTTCCCCACCTGCAGCGCCCCCCACCCACACCCACATCACCCCCCCTCCCCAACCTCCAACACCCCTTCCCCCAATTGCAGCATGGCGTGAGCAAGGAGGCGCAGGGTGGTCGGCAGGTGCAGCACATGACAGGCCACTGAGTCGACTCAAAAGTTACCTGCAGCATGGCGCGGGCGAGGAGGCGGAGCGTGGTCGGCAGGTGCAGCACGTGCAGGCGGGCCATGCGGTGGGGGAAGTTGCGGTGCAGAGCGGTGATGGAGGCGCGCAGCAGCCCCACGGGAAGGTGCCACAGCGCGGGCGCGCCCTGGCAGTCCAGAACGACTGCGATGCGCCCGCTGTCAGGGCATGAGAGGGTGAGCGCTGCTGTCACTGCGCTCACTAGGGAGGCTGCAAGGGCGTGGCATGGGGGTGTGGGGGACGGAGAGGGAGAGGTTTGGGTGTTGTGAGGGCGAGCGCTGCTTTGATTGCACTCACTAGGGAGGGAGGGGCAGAGGGGAAGGAGGGGGAGTGGGAGTGGGAGGGGGAGTGGGCGGGTGGTTGGTAGAGGTTGGGGTATTGTGCTGATGGTGGTGCTGTGCCCGTAGGGACTTGCTGACGTGATGCACGGGAGAGGAGAAAAGCAGGTGAGAGGTGGGACAAGGATAGGCTGAAAGAAGGCAGGAGATGGAATGGATGATGAGAGAGAGGCGGCTCACCCAGGTAGCAGACAAAGTCGGCATGGAAAGAAGACGGAATGGCCTTGGCCGCCCGCCCCACATGCAGAACAAGACAAGGCCTGCCGTCCACGTCCGCGCCGTGCCAGTAGCCAAACGTCCGCCAGGGCGAGCAGAGCACCTCGGCGGGCGAGAGGAGGCGGACGGATTGGCGCCACGTGGCAGTGGCGCGGATCTTATCCACCATTGACGCCACGTGGCGCTTGCCTGGCACTGCGTAGCGCAGCACTGTGTCGTCCGTCAGCCTGGCGCTCAGAGACGAGGCAAGGGGAGACGAGGGGAAGGCATGAGGGAGGTTGTGGGGGGGAGGTTGTGGGGGGGAGAGTGCGGGGGAGAGGGCAGGGAAAGAAGACGGGCATGTGGGGGAGAGGGCGCAGAAGAGAGGGAGGGGCGTGAGGGAGCATGTTAGAAAGGGGTGCATGACAACATGGGCGCGCAGGAAGGGGGATTGGAAGGGTTGGGAGGAGGGTGCATTGGGGAGGGGGAAAAGGGGACACAGTTGCAGCAAACATGGCTTGGGTACAGGCGTCATGCGCACTGGGTGGTGGAGTTGTAAAGCGGAGCAGTAAGCAAGACAAGCACACACTAGAAGGATGCTTGTGAACATTCCTACAACTTGACAACATTCTTAGCAACACTCGGAATCGCGACGCGACATGCTTGACTGGGCAATTCTCTCACCAATCCTGTGTGTCCACGTCAGCATCTTGGAGCGCCGATCGCACGTCTTGAATCAAAGCTTGGTCGTCAGGAGAGAGCGCGGGCGCGGGCGGAGAGGGGAGGTCGGGGAGAACAGCAGCGCGGGGAGGCGGAGTGGAGGGGCGCGAGCAGACAGACGACGCAGATGATGATGATGATGATGATGCGGTGCTGTCAGACGCAGCAAGAGAGCCGTCGAGAGAATAGTCTGACACTGATGACGCCCCTCCAAATGATGCAGCTCCTTCTGGCGATGCTGCTACCGCTGCTGCCGCCGCTGCTCGCGCTGATGCGCGCGCTGCTGCGCGTGCTTCTGAGAGGGAAGGGCGGGCCTCGACCGGGTGTGGGAGCATGTGAGGAGGATCATCGGGGTGCGCGCGGGAGGAGGGGCGCGCGGGGAGGAGGAAGGGCACGAGGACGGAGAGTGTGGAGACGAGGAGCGGCGCGGAGATCGTCTGTGTGGCGGCGGGACGCAGGGAGGAAGGGAGGGAGAGAGGAGGGGAAGGGGATGAGAGTGAGAGGGAGCAGCAGACAGGCGAGCAGCAGACAGGCGAGCAGCAGCAGGCAGGCGAGCAGCAGCAGTAACGTTGTTCGAATCCTGCTGCTCGTGACGTTTGCTTCATCCTTGATGCTATCCCAGCGATCCAAGTGCAATCCCCCTTCATTTCCCCTTACCGCACCTCTCCCTTTTTCCCACCTCATGCCCTTGCAAGCAACCCCACTACCGCTCATACACTTCGCATCGCTTACCTCCATAATCATCCACGTCCCGCCACGTGTCACCGTCACAACACGACCGATCATCTCCAGCGGTCCTCCGATTTCCCTCAGCACCACTTCTGCCTCCTCTTCTCTACCCGCTCCCTTTCCCGCCACCAGCTCTCCCCCTACCGTTCCCCCTCCCCCTGCCCTTCCGCCACCCTTCCCCCCGTTGAGACGCGCCTCGAGGTGCATGATTGCCACTACGTGCAGCGCGGGCCACAGCAGCGGCGGGCCTATAGCGCGTACAGGCTTCCTTAGCATTTTAATCGCTACTACGCGCACCGCGAACCACGTCGCGGCGCGCGACAAGCTCAAGGCTCCATCGACGGATCGACTCAGGGCGACTTTCAAAGCGCCATCGCGGGCGACTGTGCGACGGACCGAGCGACCCAGTGTGCGACAGAGAGCCCCGAGTGGGGAGCGCACGAGCAACCCTGCGACGGCTGCGAGCCAGCCTCCCCGTCGCCTCGTTGGTCGCAGTTGATCGCTCGACGAGACAGTCTCCCCTGTCGCACGGCCATTAGACGACGAGCCGCTACGCGCGTCACCCGTATCCCCTCTTGGAGCGGAAGAGACGGATGTCGCCGCATCGCCACTCGCTGCAATGCGGCTCGCCAGCTCAGCAACATCGTCGTCCCGTTGGGTCTCGGGAGTGTCGAACGAGGCGCTGCGAGAGTCGCTGCTGGGAGCGGCGCTGCTTGTGTCGGCCTGCAGGGAATCCGCCGCCAACTGCGGCGGATCCGGTGTGTTGCGGTGGTCGGGAGACATGGGGTGCTGCTAGAGCAAGGAGAAGGTAAGGGTCAAGGCAAGTGCCAAGGGTTAGGATAAGAGTACAGTAAATGGCTGCGCCGAAGCGAGTCAGGCACGAATGGGTTTGCGTCAGGGCTATTGCTAGGATTTTTGCTAGCTCGGACGATCCGGGCCCCTGTGAAAAAGACCCTGTAAAATACGAGCCAGCAGAAAAAAAACCTTTACGAATCCGGGTTCGTGCCAGAAAAGGCCTGAAAACCTACCTTACCAGAATCTCGCGGGATGGGGAAATGATCGTGAAACTCACAGTGGGTGGCACGAAGGCTGGGAAGGTTGGAGATTTAAGAGCGGCACTAGAGGGGGGGAGAGAGACTTTCTGTAGACTTAGAAATTTCTATATGTGGAGGAGTACTAATAGCCACGTCAACGCAGTACCGGAAATCAAACACCTGAAGGCCAAACCAGGAGCAAATGCCAAGGATATTCACTGAAAGTGGGCTATGCGTTGTACACGGGGAGAGGGAGGGGATGCGAAGCAGGTCGGAGACTATAAGTGTTGCTAAAACTTTCCGGGTCCCCTCGAAAACATCCCGGAGTGTTCCGAGTGGGCTCAAAAATCGCCCTTCAGGTTTACGGGCTGGTCCGAAAATCACCTTGTGAAAATCAGGGCTGCTCTAAAAATCACCTTATAATTTCAGTCAAAACAGGGTAATTGCCCTGATAACATAGGCCCTGGTTTGCGTTGCTGGAAGCGGGAGAAGTCAAGTCGTGGTCCTAGACCGAATTCAACCATGCACGGCTGGAATTTGAACATGTGATGCACAGCGAGGGAGCGGGCGGAAGGTCGGAGATGTGTGGTCGGTGTGATGCTTTGGTTGGATTTCTCATCCGCGTTACTAGAACCTCTGACGAATCTATTGGTTGCAATATGTTGCAGTTCATTGTTATTCAGTTACGCCAACTCTTTCCAACATACAATTCTTCGTCTCCAACATCCACGCTCTCCCACATTATTTCCCTCCTGGGTATTCAAACTCTCCCCCCGACTTGCGTCGACTTAGTTTTATTGCCAAAGCGCCAGCGGGTGCGGGTCGTAGAGGTACTGGAAGGGTTAGGCGCACTTGGCGCAGGAGGCGAAAGGGCGCAAGGATGGAGGAGTGCGCGCAGTGCGGGGAGCGCGCCGTGGATTATGATGAGCAGGCGCTGGCGCTCGTCTGCGCGCGATGCGGCCACGTGGCGGACGAATCGCAGCTTACGTCGCGCGTGGAGTTCGACGAGCTCGGGCGGGCGGGCGGCGTGCGCGTTGGCGGCGGGGGAGGCGCGGGGGATGGCGGAGAGCCTCGCTCGTGGATGTGGACGGCGGGGGCAGGCGGGGGGCGATTTGGCGGAGGGTGGGGGGAGGGGGCGGAGACGAAGTGGGGAGGCGGAGGAAAGTCGGCGGAGTTCAAGAGGCGGAAGAACAAGGTAGGACTGCGCTGGTTTTAGTGACTTGCAGTCCTCTCCCTTTGAGCACGGCTGCAGATATCTGCGGGTGTCCCTTGTGTCATATGATTCTCCGTCACACCTCATCATGCTCGCGCTTAAACAGCCTCTCTCGCCTCGCACCCTCCCGCAACCACCCTTCCCCCTCCCCTTGCGCTTCTCCCTCCCCCCCTTCCGTTTCCGCGTCTGCCTGCGCCAGCGCGAGTGGGAGGAGCGGCTGGGCGCGGTGGTGGCGGGGCTGCGCGTGCCGGAGGGCGTGCGGGGGGACGCGCTGGGGGTGGCGGAGCGCGTGGTGGAGGGGCGCTGGGGCAGCGGGCAGTGGATGGGCGTGCTCATGGCGGCCGCTGTGTACATTGCCGCGCGCAACAGGCGCCTTCCTGTGTCCATGGGGGAAGTGGCGGTGAGTGCTGAGGGAGGGGGCATTGGGGCAGGCGGGCATGGGGGCGGTGGGGCAGCGGGCAGTGGATGGCCGTGCTCTTGGCGGCCTCTGTCTACATCGCTGCACGTAACAGGCGCCTTCCAGTGTCTATGGGCGAGGTGGCGGTGAGTGGGGAAGGGATGTTGGAGGTGGGCATGAGGGGCGGTGGGGAAGCGGGCAGTGGATGGGCGTGCTCATGGCGGCCGCAGTTTACATTGCTGCGCGCAACCGGCGCCTTCCCGTGTCCATGGGGGAGATGGCGGTGAGTGGGGGAGGTGGGCATGGGGTGGGTGGCGCTGAGTTATTTCTCTCTTTCCTTCTTTTCATGTTCCCTCTTCTCTTCTTGGTCTCATCTGCGCTCCTCACCCCTCCCCTTTCCGCACCTCCCCTCCCCCCAGCATGCCACGGACTGTGAGCTGGCAGCGGTGTGGGCCATGTTCAAGCGCATCACGGCCTACTTCCCCATGCTGCAGGTACGTCTCCTTCTCTTCGCCTGCCTCTCTTTGATTGGCACTACAATCTCTTGCACACAGCTTTGTCTTGTAATAAGTTCTTGCCATGCCACCCCCCCACCCGACGCTGTGTGTGTGTGAGTGCAGCCGGAGCAGGTGGATCCGGTCAGCCATGTGTGGAGGGCCGTGCATGCCGTGCCTGCTCTCAGGGTATGTGCGAGTGTGCAGCACATCATGTATGTATGTGCATGCATGTGGATGTGCCATGCCATGTCATGCCATGCCATGCCATGCCATGCCATGCCATGCCATGCCATGCCATGCCATGCCATGTGCACCTTGATGTCTTCTTCGTTGAACCTTGTCGCTCTCAGAAAGTTCGAGTCCATAGCTCCACATACATTCGTACATTCATACACTCATACACGCATACACCCGACTGCTTTATTTTCCCTGTCACGTCACGGCATGGCATGGCGAGCACAGGAGTGGCAGGGCGAGGGGGGAAGGCAGGCGCTAGTGGGGGACGCCATGAGGCTGCTCACCTTCGCGCACTCCCTCTCCCTCCACACCGGCCGCCATGCCGCCCCGGTACCTCCCCTCCCATCACCCATGCCGCCCCGGTACCTCCCCTCCCATCACCCATGCTGCTGTGCTGCTACGGCACACCCCTTCCTTCACCTCCTATGCCCCACATATACCTGCCTCTCCTCTCATTCTACTCTCAGTCTATGCTTCACACTTCACCACCCATCCCATTGTGCCCCGTGTGCCTTTTTCCACCCACCTCCCAGATAGCAGCAGCGGCGCTGCTGCTGGTGGCGGGGGCGAGGGGGGTGGTACTGGGGGAGGGGGAGCTGTGCGCAGCCATGGCAGTCCCGCCAGCTACAGTGAGGCAGCGCTTCTCAGAGCTCACGCGCGCCCTCATGCGCCTCGCACGCTCGCTGCTGCTCCCGGGAGCCAACAGCGTGGCCTCCCAGGCAGCCTTCCACCGCCTGCTGCCCTCCATCCTTGCGGTGTGTCTGGGGACTCTAGGCCAGCCTGTTCTGGATGCACCTTGAAAGGCGCCTATGAAGTCGCGTCATGTCTTAGGCTCCTCAAATTCACCTCCCGGGCTCCCACCACGTGTCCTCCCAGGCAGCCTTCCACCGCCTGCTGCCCTCCATCCTTGCGGTGTGTCTGCCGTGGTGCTCTGGACTAAGGGACGTTTGTCACCTCACACAGCTTCTCTTCCCTCCATTTCTCACCTCGCCTCGCCGCCACCCCTGTGTTCGCCCTCGTGTATTTCTTCCTCCCCACACTTCTTCCCTTCCAATCAGCTTTTGCCATCGCCCTCTCGAGTGGGCCATCGCTTCGTGGTGCCATCTGCTGATGTGGACAGGCGTGCTGACGTGGAGGATCGAACTGCTGATGTGACCACCGCGGGTTGTGCGTCCCCAGTGTCAAGCCCAGGAGGGGAAAGGGGAGGCGCAGAGCGTGGGAGGACAGAGCAGTCAGGGAGGGAAGGTGGTGGGGAAAGCGGAGGAGGAGCATGTGAAGGCAAGGGCCCAGGAGGAGAGCGAGGAGAGGAAGAACGAGGCGCAGGCAGGGGAGGGGGAGGGGGAGGGGGAGGGGGAGGGGGAGGGGGAGGGGGAGGGGGAGGGGGAGGGGGAGGGGGAGGGGGAGGGGGAGGAGAGGACGGCGCGTTGGAGTGTGGTGAGGGGCGGCGGTGCTCCAATGAGCTGCAGCCACCAGCATTCGAAGACAGCGTGCTGGCTCATCAACGGTACGTGCCCCTCTCTTGCCAAGCCGTCTTGTCTCACCTCGTCTCCTGTTCCCGCTTGTTCCAACCCATCCCCACCCCACTCCCCCTCATCCCCTCTCTCTGCACGCCGTTCTCCCATCTTGTTATCAGCTTGCTGCAAGGCCACCTCTTCTCTGCTCTCTGTCTTCTCCCCAACCAGTCGCACCGGGCTGCTCACCCGCGCCCGCCACTGCCTGCAGCAGACCAAGCGCAACCGGTGGGGGCGTGCTCGGAGCAAGGGAAGAACAGGGAGAGGCTTGGAGGATGGAGTGGCTGGGGAGAGCAGCAAGGGTGGGGGCGAGGGGGAGGGCGAGGAGGAGGGCAGAGGGGTGGAGAAGGGTTGTGATGGGTCGAGAATGGAGGTGCTGTGGCGGTGGGAGGGGGTGTGTGTGGATGATAAGGGGGGTGGGGGGGGAGGGAAGCGGGTGAAGAGAAGCATGAGGTGCTTTAACGAGGGTGGTGGTGGGGAGACAGAGAGGCGGCAAGGGCAAGGGAGGGGGAACGAGGAGGCTGTGGTGGACTGGCTACTTCTGCAACAGGTGGGAAGGATGACCACTTTTGCTTGCACTGTTGTGCTCTGTAGGCCATGGTTCGTGTTTGTCTTGATGGAGAATGAGAGCTTCATGTGGTGTGGATGCTGATGCTGTTGATGCTGCTGGTGTGGATGCATGGATGCTGCTGGTGTGCTGTGCAGGCGGACCCACGTGCAACAGCGTCAGGATGGTTCCGCTCTGCTGCTTCTACAGTCATGGATCGCCATGTCTCTGCCTCCAACAAACAAGCTTAGATGCACGCTTTGCCACCAAGTGAGACGAGAGGATGTTTTTTGATTTATGCATCCACATGTGCCAACGATGGATGTAAAATTTCACATGGAATGGAAGCATCATACTGACTGTAGCGGGTGTGTGACAGTCGTGCTTAGCTCAAACTGACCTGAAGGTGCACTTATAGACATGCATGCAAGCGCAGATGAGTCTCAGATTGCATGGGAGCGGGGAAACAAGCGCGCTACGGCAGCCGTACCAACGACCACTGCACCCTCCCTTTCCTACGGTATGCCTTCTCTTCCCTGTTTTCTCCCACCATGCACCTTACGGGCTCCTTCAAGTGGCCTATACGTCAGTATTCTTCCAAGCACGTGGTGGTGGGTACTGATATGAATGGAGGACTGCTGTTTCTGGGCAACTTTAGCCCGAAAGCTTGGCACTCAGGCTGACTGACACTACACGGAATTACTGTCCCGTTACCCGTACACACAGCGTGCTGGCACTCAGCAGGTGAGCACCGACACGCTGGAAAACATTGCCGTACATAAAGTGAGACACCACGACACCAACGCACTGCAAAACCACCTTATATAGGCCGCCTTTGGGCCGTATACAGTAAACCTAGAGCACACCGCCTATGGACCCTAGAGTGGCTGAAGCGCCTTCTTGTGACTGACTCCTACTCTCCTGCTTATCTGCGGGCACACCACTCCCCTGCAGCACTGCTGTCCCCTCCAGTGCTGCACTCCCCTCACGCGGAGCTATTTCCGCGGAAAAAAACAACTCAATGCAGTCCTTGGTGTGCCACCCCCAACATGTGCTGCTCTTCCCTTTTGCGCTGCTCCCTGGAGCACCCTTTGCCACTTGTGGTGGTGCAACTCATTCACCTCAAGCAGTGCTCTTCCCTTATGTGCTGCACTCCACTCACGCCGTTCTTCTCCTGCGGAAGAACGACTTAGAGACGGTCCTTTGCGCGCCTCTCCCATTCATGTTGCTCTCCCATTACGCGCACCTCCCCTCAAAGTGCTGCTCTCCCCTAGTTCACTGCACTGCTCCCCCCTTCAAGCGGTGCTCTTCCCGCGGAAGAACGACTTGATGCGGTCCTTTGTGCGCTTCTCCCCGGACGTGCGCCGCTCCTCACTGTCATTACTCGACCGGCTGCTGGGGGACACGGCCGTCACGGGGGACGAGGCCATGCTGCCCATCACAGGAGGCGACGACGCCATGCTGCTGCTGCTCGTGCCGTAGCTGCGCCCCTGCTGCCCCGCCTCCCGCATCTGCATCTCCCCTCCTCCCTCCCGCTGCTCTGTCTCGCCCCGCGCATGTGCGTGTGCGTGCTCTTGCGCATGCGCATGGGCATGGGCATGTGTGTGCTGCGCTGGTCCCCTCCCCATCTGTGCGTCACTGTGCGACAAGTGCTTCTGCAGAGGCCGCCCTCCCGAGTCTGACATCTGCCGATCCCCGCCCGCCCCTGCCACGTCAGCAGCTGGCACGGAACAACTGGCTCGTTCCGTAGGTCCGGCCGGACCAGGTTCCCCGAAGAGGAACTGCAGTACGACGCTGGTGTAGTCGTCCGGCAACTCATCCACCACGTCCCGCCCCGCCGCCCCCATGTCCACATACTCGCCGTTCTTGCACAGCAGGGCGGCTTTTCTCGTCGCCTTGTGCAGCGGCTCGCTCTCCCCCGCCATGCAGAGCACGGGCGTGTGAACGCGCTTCAGCAGCTCCGCATGATCCACTACAGCCATGGCGCGTGACAGCCATGGCCGCCGCTCATACGTCTGCAGCATGTCAATGAGCGTGCGCACCTTGAGCTGCCACGGCACGCCCCCCTCGGGGAAGCGGCGGTGGAGGAACGTGGTGACGGCAGCGGGGAGGTCGGAGTCGTAGTGGCCGTCGGGGGTTTCCTCCCGCAGGGCGTCGCCGCGCTCCATGAAGCCCAGCATGGGCACGCCCCACAGGACCAGGCGGCGCACGATGTGTGGGAGCTCTGCCGCTATGTGGATCGCCACTGTCGCCCCCGCCTCGTGCCCCACCTGTGGAGTAGCGGAGGGTGGGGAGGATGGGGAGGATGAGGGGGGCGAGCATTGGCACGGCCCAGAGCACAAAGCAGCGCATGATGTGTGGCAGCTCCGCTGGGGCCCCGCCTCGTGCCCCGCCTGTGGGTGAGGGTGAGGAGAGAGAGGAGTTGTAGGGAGGAATGCGTGGAGCATGGAGCTTAGGCATGTCTTGCATGCCCGTGGTGGTCTCACATCCTCTCATCCATTCCAGATCCATCCCGTTTCACTCACTTCTCCTCCGTTCCTTCATCCATCCATGCATCCAAGCATGTCAGATCCGTTCAAGCATGCATTAAGCAGCCCCTCCACTCTACCACCCATGCATGTCAGATCCGTTCAAGCATGCACCCACCCACCATTACACTCTACCACCCATCCATGCCAGATCCGTTCAAGCATGCACCCACCCACCATTCCATCCATGTCCAGGTGCATTTCAGACCATCGTGCATGCACTGCACACCAGCTGGTGCAGTCCTGGATCTGTCCTTCATGGTATTTCATCCACAAATTATGCAAAGAGACTTTGGTAACTTTGTAACTCCAATGCTCAGGGAGAGGGATCCAGGCCATCACCGCATCATCAACACCCACAATGTCAAACGGCGGCGAGAATCGAAGCGCGTGAGCAGCTTGCAGCACAAGGTTTGCCACGTCAACCATGGTCAGCTCTCCACTGGGGAGCTGAGCTGCTTGCGTGGGATCAGCACTTGCTGACGCAGCACGGCACGACTCGCCGCTGTTGGGCAGATCCAGCGCTACCGCGTGCAGGCCGGCCGCCCCCATTCTCTTTAGCGCGGATGTGAACATGGCGGACGACTGGGCGGCAGAGTGCAGCAGCAGGATGGACGGTGGGCCGTGGCCGCATCTGCTCATTATAAATTTGCACGAGGTGTAAGCAATGGTGTTAGCAATGCTGCGCCACAGAGTAGTGGCGACAAAGTTGTGGCTTGGAAAGTAAATTTGGTCTGGATCCACTTCCCAATCCTGGATCTAAATCCCAGATCTAGTTGAGAAATTTGGGTAACATTAGCAGCAGGTCTTCAGATTGGTTTTGGGGGTGTCTGGAGTATCAGACTTGGTTCGAAAATTTACTCTGTTTATCCTTTCTGCTGTTTTATCCGACAGAAGTCGGATTAAGCAGATATCATACACACAAAAAAGGCTGAAAATCAGACAATCATACTAAAAAACTGAGGCCCTGCTGCAGAAGGGGTATCCCAAAGGACGTCCGATCAGAATTAGTCGTTTGGGGGAAAGGAGCAACTTTAGTGCAACGAAAAATCTCATTTTCATGCGGCGACGGAGTTTCAATGATATTCTTTGCTATTAATTTTCAAGAGAGCTCGTTTCATGCGTTCAATGGAAGATGGCTCGTCGAATATGTGATAAAACAGAGTCATTGGGCGACAGTTACCTGCGGTAGTGGATTTGTCCAGCCTCTGTGTCCACGTATCCCTTCTTCACATCGCTCGTACTCCCCATGTCTTGCAGTGGCTGAATAAAAAAGCGAGACACCTCAAAATGCAGCCGTGAACACGAGAGTTGACAAGTTGAACCGACGCAGGGTTAGGATCACTTCGTCCTTGTGAGAAGTCGATTATCGTTCAAAGATGGCCTTCCTGCATCCTTGCTTGTGTTTTATCGTTCAAAGAGCAGATGGCTTGGCACCCAGCCACCACTCATGTGCTTCTTCGTGTGTTGTGGGGCAACGAGGCCCTCCTCCACCTGTCTTTGGCGGACAGACACCCCCAGCGAGAACCGTTGGTTGGTCGCATCGCAGCAATTATGCGCGGACAACAGTCGCGGTTGTCTTGTTGTGTCAGGGCCGTTTCCTTTTCCTTCCCCTCTCTCGGTCCCGCCCGGTGAGCACGAGCCCACAGAGCAAGGCGAGAAACAACCACAATCCACCAAGCCAAACCCAGCTGTTTGAGCGAGGGCGCTTGAGGAAGGTTGGGTTGGGTTGGGTTGGGTTTGGCCCGAAAAGCAACCACCACGGCGCCAAACACACCGCCTTTTACCCATCTGGCGATTTTTCCTTCGTTCAAGCATGATTACATGTATAAAATTGACGGTTCTCGAATCTCCTCGAGAAGTGACGAAGAACACCAGCTATGGTTTTCAAAACAGTGCAATGGTGCCCTGCCCGCACAGTGCCCGAGACTTAAAAGGTGGTTCCGTACACGAACTGTACAATTCCGATTTGCCCAATGCCCACCTCCTCTATGTCAGGTAAAGACAAAGCATAGAGCAAGCCACGACCATGACTTCGACCTCGTTTCATAGAAAAGCACTGTACAGTACACAATGTTGTCGACCATAAAACCCGTAAAAAAATTGTTCCCACGCTCGTCTGCGTATGGTACAAGTAAACTCGAATAAATTTGTTAAACGTGCCTACAGCCCTTAAACAAGGCAGATGATGTATTTGGCCCATCATGTCAGAAAAAATGTCAAAGAATGCTGCCCTATGATTATTACTTGGATTCTTTCGCACTGTGCGAGAACCACATCATTCGAATGAGCACGAATGCGTAACTGATGCGGAAAAGCAGCGGAAAAGATGGAAATGTAATCATAGAATGTCGCCAGCTGTCGCAAGAAGCTTGTAACCTGACTAACCAACGGACCAGGTCCGTCCCAATGTCCGTGAGAGGGGAACCAGTGGTTCGAACCACTCGTTCGTTGGACGATGAACAGTTTTTCCCCGTAGGCCGGTACAGCTGATGCTCACCCCATGCACGCGAATTTGCCTTGCGCCGGATGGATACGCTGCACCCGAGGTTGTTTCCCCAGCTTCATGCACCTACATTACAAGCGCGTCGCGTGGTTATCAACCAGTAGTAACGAACAGACCGACGTCAAACTAGGTACAGACCGAAGTCAAGCAGAGGAGACTGAAGTCAAACTAGGTTACAGATCTTGTTTATAAGCACATGCGAATCATTTTTAGCTAGCTGCGAATTGCCGAAACTTATGCGAAATGCTCGTGACAGCTTATACGCCCCCTTCGTAAGGCAACCGGGAGGGGCTCAAACAGGCATCAGGTGTACTCATTCACAAGTGAGGCTGCATTATAACCAATCCCCAGCATATCGACTGTTACACCAGCCATGCTGTCGTTTAGTATCATTACGTACTGCTGTCATAACTCAATAGAGTCTGATAGATATTAGCAATACATTTCATAATATTTTACAGCTAATTTACATTCTAACCCATTCTGTGGTACGACCATGTGGCACTCCCTGGAAAAAAAACTTATTAAAGAATGTCATACGGTATGCGATTTCCAGTATTCAGTAACCCCTTTCCAATCATAATATAGTGATTTTTTATATTCCACACTTCTCATAAGCTGCTTCCTAATTTCGAGCTTTTGACAGCTGATGTGTTAGCTGTTTCCATGTATGATACAGCATATTTCGTTTTACCGCAGCCGAACATGTTCCTCTTCCTATACAATCACCATTCGTAATGTGCATCCGTACTCCCCCAACCAATTCTCCCCAGCTGCTCTTTCTGCTCATTTCGGGTCGCAGATTCATTTTGGTCGTGCCTCACTTGCACAAGCGATCACGCTTTTGCCATCTTCGGGCATTTCGACAATACCTATTTGGCTGAAACATTCGAGTAGAATAAATCTTGGTGGCCGACGGAATATACCAGCTGTCTCAGCCACCGCCTCATCTACGTAGTCTACCTTGGGTGCACTTTGCTTGCGGACCACGAACCTGGGGCGATTTCCGCGATTCAAGTTGATCGTAGGGTTACCATAACCCTAAGTCAGCAGGTTTCAGTTTGTGAAGATTGCTGCGTGGGGACTCAGTGGCTACCATGAATCAACAACATGGCCAGTTTGAGAAGGAAACAGAAAATAAGAGCAGCGATTATGGCGACGGGTGGAGCACGGACGAGGACGAGCCGTCCGTGTTTCGCCCGAACGCCATCGCGTTCCCCACCCACACAGCTGACAATCGCGGCGCGCAGGAGCATCGCAGCGCGGTGCACCATCATAGTTTCGTAGCAGCTCCTGAGAGCTACGGCGACAGGCAGGTGCGTAACAGACACCGCACGCTCTCCCCTTCAGTGCGATGCACTACTGCCCGCTTCTTCTGCTGGGAGAATCCAACCCGAATCTTTCACATCTTCACAACCAATCATAGTGTCTGCGCCGACCACGGCGACAGTTCCAGTTAAGGCGTCAGCAACTCTCACAGCAGCATGGCCGGCAACAAGAGATGCCCTCCCATCAGCACCGCAGCTGGAGTGCGATGTGCGACGACTCTTGCCTCCCTTGCTCGTGCAATCTTAAAAAAACCTAACGGATTACAAAGCGCTCAGGGCGTTGGGAAGTAGTTAAACATATAAACGAAGGAGAATGAGAGATGGCATGGGTATTTACATGCTCTCCCTAAGGGGAGGGAGATGTGGGATGGGTGGTACGTGACAAGGGTGGTGTGTGGCATGGGGTGGTATATGAGATGGAGTGTGTGGCATGGGGCGGTATATGAGATGGGTGTGTGGCGTGGGGTGGCATATGAGATGTGGTGTGTGGCATGGGATGTGTGGCATGGGGTATGTGGCATGGGGATGTGTGTGATGTGGTGTGTGGGATGGGGTGTGTGAAATAGGGTGTGTGGCATGGGGATGTGTGGGATGGGATGTGTGGGATGGCGTGTGTGGGATGGGGTCTGTGGGATGGGGTGTGTGGGATGGGGTGTGTGGGATGGGGTGTGTGGGATGGGGTGTGTGGGATGGTGTTACATGGGATGGGGTAGAATGTGACGTCAGAGATCTATGGCATGAATGGTATGTGACATGGGGTGGTTTGTGATAAGGGTGGTGTTTGCCATAGGGTGGTGCGTGACATGGCATAGCATGTCTCGCACATATTTTTCAAGAAAAAAGCAATCCTGACGTTGACATAAAAGCGACAGGAAGGTTGCAACGGGTGGAAGGAGCGACTGAACTCGCCATGCATTCCCAATGCGAAGAAGGGCCAAGTCCAATGTGATCCCAAGGTGGTGATTGGACCAGAAAAAGAGTCGGCACATGTTGCTGTTGCTGTTGAGGATTCTCAAAAGCAGCACCACCATGTGCCGACTGCCAAGGTGGTAATAGAACCGGGGAAAGAGTCAAACCGACGACTGGCTGACACTCCTTCCAACTCTCCAACTCCACCTCCCTTCCCCTCACTGCCTGCAGGCCCTCCTCAACACTTGTCTGCTCCCTCACTCTCTCGCCGCCTCAACACCCCTCCCCTGGCAATTATCGCACACACCCCACATCCTTTCCCTGCCTGCTCCTCCTGTTCATCCTCCTCCTGCTGCTGCTGCTGCCGCCGTGGCACCCTCCCCTTCGCCCTCTGCCACACGACATCCATCCGTGCCCCCCATCCACCATATCCCCTCCCGCATACCCACCCCTCCTCCCACCCTCCTTCCCGCACCCGCACCCGCTTCCCACTCTATCCCCGCCCGCGTCCCCACCCCTCCTCTGCTCTCCGTGCAAGCCCCCCACCTTCCGCAGCTAGCCTCTGCACCACCACATGCCATCCCATGCCGCCCCACACTGCCATCACCGCATGGAGCAACCCTTACTGAACCACACTTGGCAGCAGCGCAACAGCACCCCCCTCACAGCACCGTCCACCTACCCTCCGCCTCTGTTGCTGCCACTGCTGCTGTTGCTGTCCCCTTGCCCTCCCCCGCCCCCCCACCTGCTCGCGTCTCACCCTTGCCTCAGACTGCCCTGCCTGCTGCCTCTGCCCTCCCACATGCTCGCTCACAGCAGCAGGCAAAAACAGACGCGCACAAGCACTCCCTGCTGCCCACCGCCCCCCCACCCACGCATGCACGAACTGCCATTGCTACCTCTGCTGCCGCCGCCGCCGCTGCTGCTGCTGCCCCCACGCACTCATACACGCCTGGGCGCAGGTCATTCCCCCCATCCCTCTTTCTCCCCCGCACTGACCCTCTTGATGCCTCCGCCCTCCCCTCGCCCACTCCTCCCTCTCCCCCTAAACGCGTTCCTTCCCCCCCGCAACAACCATCTTCTTCCCTTTCAACTTCGGTTGCGGATCAACCCCCCCGCAGCAGCCCCTTGCAATCCCCTCCTCCTGCTAAATCCCAATCTGCTGCTTCCCACCTGCAATTTCCCCCAGGCTTCCCTTCCCCAGTAGAACCCTCATCCCTCACCCCCAAGCCATCCCCCGTGCCCCTGCTGCCACCACCATCCCTTGCATTTCCACGCCCACTTACAGTCACATCCGCTACACCTTTCCCTTCGCCTTTCCCCCCACCCATTGCGCCTGCTCTGCCCTTCCTTGCGGCGCGTCTGCCCCTCCCCTTTGGCCCCTTCCTCCGCCCACCCATCCCCGCCGCTGCGCTCTCTCTCCCCATCGGCCTCTCCTCTCGCCTCCCCCTCGCCTCCCTCTCCTCGCCTGCTGCTGCTGCCGCCGCTGCTGCCACTGCCAGTCCTGCCTCTGCTGCTTCTGGTAGTAACTTGGGGGTTGTTGCTGTTGCTGGTGGTACTGGTGTGGGGATGGGGAGAGGGAAAGAGGAAGAGAGGCCCAAACAGAGTCCTGGGAAACTGAGAAAGGCAGGCGAAGGGGCTGAATCAGCTAGAGCAAAAGACATGAGAGGGGAGGAGCACAGGGCATTGGAGGTTGGGGAGAAGGCAGGGGGCAAGATGAGGCAAAGGGCGAGGAAGGGGAGCGATCTGCATCAATGAGCGCTGCTGATACAAGTAAGGCAGAGGTAGTTGGTGATAGTGATGTAAAGGCAGAGATGGGAAGGCAGGGAGAGTCCGAGACAGCGCGTCGTGCTTGTGCGGAGGGAACGGATGTGGTAGGCGGGGTGAGTGGAGGAGAAAGGGCGAGCAAGGAAGAAGAGGGCGTTGGCCATGCCACCGCAGCTGTTGCTAGCGAACCAAAGCCTCTCCACCCATCACAACGTTGCTCAGAGTCTCTCCGAGATCCGAGCATACCCGCCACGAGCACGCACCCTGCCGCTGTGAGTGCACCCCGCACTCTTCCTCCTCCGGCTGAGGGGGGAAAGGACTTGGAGCGTATAAAGGCAGAGGGTGCAGATGGCATGGCAGGTGGTGGGGGTGACATGGCAGCGTCTGTATGTGGGGCGGCAGTGGGGATTGAGGGGTGTGAGGACGAGCCTGCTGATGCTCCCCTGCGACAACTAGATCTGGACCCTCGGCGGAGAGAGGTGGGTGTTGAGGGGGACTTGGAGGCTGGTGCTGGTGCGGGAGAAGAGGGAAGGGTGGGATTGGGAGAGGAGGAAGGGGAAAAGGAAGGGGAGAAGGAGGGGGGGAAGAAAGGGCAGCAGCATGACCAGCAGCTGGAGCAGCAAGATGGGGAGCAGGAAGGTGAGGATAAGCAAAAGCAGCAGGGGGAACGTGAAGCTACAGAGAAGGGCACATCAGCATTGGAGGAAGCTGCAGATGCCTCACTCTCAGCGCCATCACCTGCTGCTCTCGCCGCAGCCCTGCTTGCGCCCACTGCCCCCCACCACGCCCCTGTGCGCAGCGGGCGCATCTACACGCGCCGCCGCGCCCGCTCCGGCGCTCGCAGCACTGCTGAGCGCTGCAGCAGCTGGGGACGGGGGGGCGCTGATTGCACTGCCGCAGCGGGGGAAGGGGGAGGAGGTGGGGACGAGGGGGGCGGGGGAGAAAAGGGGGAAGGACGCAAGGAGGGGGAGGAGGAAGCTGGACAAGGGGAGGGAGAGGATGGGCAGGGGGATGGGGAGGAAGGGAACAGCAGCAGCTGTGGGGAAGGTGAGGAGGGCACGGGACAAGGGGCTGGTGGCGGGGAAAAGGGGCCAGGAGGGGGAGGAAGGGGAGGAAAGGGAGGGGCAGTGAAGCTTGATGCGGTGAGAGAGAGGCTAGTGGGGCGGGTGGCCAAGGGCAGGCGGCGAGGCAAGGGGGGAGGTGCAGCGGGGGCAGCGGGGGCGTTGGGGCAGCAGGTGGCAGTGCGGGCGGGGATAGCAGAGCGGGCAGCAGGCAGGCGTAGCATGGAGTTTGGCGCTGAAGTGAGCGTGGAGGGCACGGGCGTGGGGGGGGGAAGAAGCAGAACCCTGGCGGAGCTGGTTGTAGCGCGGGGGAGGGGGAGTGCGCGGGGGAAAGGTAAGGGGGGGAAGAAGGGGGACGGACGCGGGAAGGGGAAGGGGGAGGGGGATGGGGAGGGGGAGGTGCGGGTGCTGTGGTTAGCGGATTCAAGTGTTGCTGCCCGCCCCTTGGGGGATGGGGAGGGGGACGAGGAGGGGGGGGAAGAAGAGAGGGGGGTGGGAGAAGGGGAGGATCAGGAGGGGGCGGGGACGGTGGGAAGGCAGGGTGTGAAAGGTGCGCAGTTGGGCAGTGGGCGGAAGAGAAAGGGTGCTGGCAAAGGGGAGGAGGTGGGGGAAGAAAGTGGAGGGGAGGAAGTGGGGAAGGGAGATGGAGGGGGCGCGGGTGACGGGGAGGTGAAGGCGGGAGGGCAGAAAGGGGAAGATGGGGTTGAAAAGGAAAAGGAAGAAGATGCATCGGGCGGGGGAGCAGAGGAGAAAGGCAGTGTGAGTGTTGCAAGCGAGTGGAGGGGGGGGAAGCGGCGGCGGTGGCAGCCGGTGGTGTCACGGGGGGGAGATGGCGTGGTGGAGGTGCGCTTCCGACACCTGCTGCCCGCCACCTCCACTGCCGCATCTGCTCCTGTCTCTTCTGCAACTCCTTCCGCTGCTTCGACTTCTGCCATGGGTGCGGATGGTGATGCTGCTGCTCCTGCTGCTGATTCTGCTGCTGCTGCTGCTGCTGCTGCAACTGCTGCTGCTACTGTGGCCACTGGTGGTGTTGATGCTGGCGCCAGTGCTTGCTATGCTGCTGAAACGAATGCGGCTGGCGCTGGTGCTGCTAACACTGATGAAGCTGCTACCAATGTTGCTAGTTGTGGTGGTGCTGATTTTGATGCTGCTGCTACTGGAGACGTTAGTAGGGATGATGGTACTAATGATGCTACTAAGAGTAAGTGCGTTACTTACCCATATACTGATGATGGTGCTGCTGGTGCCCCTGCTGCCCCTCCAGCACTGTGTGACACAATGCTTCCCGGGGAAGGAGAGGGTCACGTAGAAAAGCAGCAGGGCGGGGAGGGAGAGGAGAACGGGGGGCAATCGGGAAGGGATAAGGGGGAGGACGGGGAAGGGGAAAAGGAGGACGGAGCAGGCAGTGAGGGAAAGAGAGAAGGGCGTGAGGGCGAGGGTGAGAAGAGTGAGGGTGAGGTGGAAGTAGAGGGGGAGGAAAGAAGGGAGGAGAGAAGGGAGGAGAGGGAGGGAGAAAGAGAGGTGGCAATGAAGGGTTCCGCGGACAGGGAGGTGCCACAAAGTACAGCTGCTTCTGCACCTGCCCTCCTCACTGCACCCGAAGGTGCAAACTCTGTTTCTGCTGCCGCCACAGCAGCACCAGCACATGCGTTTATGTCTCATAGCGACATGGCAGCTTCTTTGCATGCATCAGAACCACACAAGTCAGCAGCAGTGGCACCGAGGGAAGCTCCGGCATCAGATGAAGCAACAGCAGCACCATCCCCTGAGGCAGCACCCATGCCAGAAGGCACGGAGGCAGCACCTTCCAACCATCCACAGGGTGTTGGCTCTGTCCCTCTTGCCTCTGCTCTTCCTTCTCCTGGATTTTTCCGCTCTGCTGTCACTCCTGAGGTTGCTGCCCCTGGTGCTGCCACCCCTGCCACTGCCACGCCTGCTGCTGCTCCTGTAACCGCAGCAGGAAGTGGGGGTGGTGGGAGAGGGGACGGTGGGAGTAGGGACGGTGGGAGCGAGGGCAGGGCTGTGAGGGCGGGTGGTGTGAAAAGAAAGGCGGGTGAGGTTGAGGGTGAGGAGGGAGAAGAGAGTGCAGTGCTTGGGGAAGGAGTAGGGAAAGGGTCCGGGAAGAGTAGGCGTGTGGAGGGGGAGGTGGCAGTGGGGCAAGGAGGAGGGCAGGATGGGGCTGGTGGGGGGAGTGGGGCAGGTGGGGGAAGTGGTGCAGGTGGGGAGAAACGGGAGCAGGCAGGATGTGAAGAAGATGTTGGGGTGGGTGGTGGAGGTGTGGAGAAGCAAGTGTGTGGCGACCAAGGTGAGAGCTCCGATGCGGTGGGAAGTGGTGGAGACGACACAATCATGGGTGGTGCCTCGTCACAAGACAAGCTTGAAGCAAATGGAAGGGAGGGGGTGAGAGAAGGTGGGGTGGTAGCGGAGGAAGGGGAAAAGGAAGCAGCAAGGGAAGGGGGAAAGTGCAGAGTGAGGCTGAGAGGCGGGCACTGGAGCTGCTAGCAAGGCGTGGACTCGGGGAGGCGGATCTGAAGGCGCTGGGGGAGATGCGACTGGGCGTAGGGGGGAGGAGAGGGCGAGGCAGAGGCAGAGGGGGTGCTGGGGGGAGTAGAGGTGGTGGGGGACGAGGGGGGATGGGGAGGGGCGGTGGGCGAGGGGCGAGGGAAGGGGGAGGTGGCAGGGGGCAAGGAGAAGGGAACGTGGCAGCACCTGGTGCGCGTAGTGATGCTGCTGCTGCTGTTGTTACTACTATTACTGCTGCCACTGGTGCCAGTGGCAGTGGGAGGGATAATGGTGGTGCTACCAGTGCTGGTGCTGCCGGTGCTGCTGCGGGTGCTGGAGGTGGCAGTGGTGGAGGAGTGTTTGAGCTGCTGTTGCGTCTGCCGGATGACATGCGCCCACAGGTGCCACTCAACCTGCACAGCCGCGTCCCCACGCCCATCCGCCAGGTGCGCCCATCCGCCAGGTGCGCCCATCTGCCAGGTGCGCCCATCCGCCAGGTGCGCCCATCCGCCAGGTGCGCTCTTCCCCAGGTTGCTCCTAGGTTTCCCGGTATCCCGGTTTTCCGGTTTCCCGGTTTCCCGGTTTCCCGGTTTCCCGGTTTCCCGGTTTCCCGGATTCCCGGTTTCCCGGTTTTCCGGTTTCCCGGTTTCCCGGTTTCCCGGTTTCCCGGTTTCCCGGTTTCTCGGTTTTCCGGTATCCCGGTATCCCGGTTTCCCGGTTTCCCGGTTTCCCGGTTTCCCGGTTTCCCGGTTTCCCGGTATCCCGGTTTCCCGGTTTCCCGGTTCCCGGTTCCCGGTTTCCCGGTTTCCCGGTTTCCCGGTATCCCGGTTTCCCGGTTTCCCGGTTTCCCGGTTTCCCGGTTTCCCGGTTTCCGGGGATTCCGGGCCGGGATACCGGGATACCGGGACACCTGAATTCTTGCCTCTCACCTGATTTCCTGTGCATTCACAATCGTTTCCTTCACAACATTCACAAGCAAAATCTGCCTTCTTCCTCTGTTTCCCACCTCTCTTCCCTATCTCCTCCCTCCTGCTTTCTCTTTCCCCCCGTTCCCCATCCCCATGACCACTGTCACCGCCTCAGCGGCACGTGAGTCGGTGGGTGAATCATCATCTGAGGGCCATCCCTGCAAGCACCATAGGTCGCAACGACCACACGTGGGCAGCCATAGCAGCGGGTGTGGCAGCAGAGCGGGCGCTCTTCAACCAGTCCGCCAACCAGCGCCTCTACCTCTCCCTCTCCGCCCGCGCCCTTGCTGCCGCTGCCTCATCACCCGCCAACCTCGCTTCTCCCTCGTCCCCCTCTGCTGCCGCAGCTGCTTCTGTCACTCAAGTTCATAGTGCTGCCGCTCCACTCGCGGCCGCTGGTTCTTCCGCTGAAGCTGCAGGTCTGGCAGTTAAGTTTCCGGATGATACCAGGCCAATCTCCATAGCTGATGCCTTGGCTCGGGCATCCGTGGCTCGGGCGCTCCGAGCCACAGGCTTGGATGGGCCGTCACCACCGGGATCTCCAAAGAGGGAGGACGCAGGGCGGGATAAGGGGCAGCAGGGGGCCGGGGAAGAGAGTACGAAGCCTGTGAAGGCACCTCAACCTGCTGCTGCCGTGCAGGCAGGCAGGGAGCGTGACAATGTGGAGTGTGATTCTAAAGTGGGTGATGGAAAGGTTGAAGGGGCTAAGGGCAGTGTGCAGCGACAGCAGCAAGGAAGGGAGGCAGAGAGGGTGGCACATAGAGAGAGAGCAGCAGGCAAGAGTAGTGGTGAAGCAGCGGGTGTTGGTGGCACAGGTGGCACACAGCAGGGCGAGCAGGACGAGCAGGGGCGGGTGGAGGGCGAAGGAAGGGAGGGGCAGGGGGAGAGGAGGCAAGGGGAGGGCGGGGCGAGTGGGGAAGCTGTGGTGGAGGCCGGGCCAGTCCCGGGGGCGGGGAGGGCGATGCAGGGGAGGTGCTGGATGGGGACTGTGGAGCCAGTGTAGGTGCATGTGGGGGAGGTGGGACCCTTGGCAGTGAATGGAGCAAGGGGCGTGGGGAGAAGGCCTTTCCTGGAGGGAAAGGTGCAGCAGCTGCTGCTCCTGCTGCTGTTGCTGCTGCTGCTGCTGCTGCTGTGGATGCGGGTGGGAGTGGCAGTGAGGGGACAGGGAGGGGTTTGGTGGGTGAGGGGGGTGGCGGGGCGAGCAGCAGTGGTGGGGGAGGGGTGGGTGTGCCGGGAGGCAGAGCAGCAGCACTGCCCTGCCAGCTGGCAGCACTGCCGTGCCAGCTGGCAGCACTGCTGAGTCAGCCCAGCAGGGGGACAGGAGGAAAGACCCCGTTTTGAACCAGGTATTTCCATGCCCTCTCTCCTCCTCACCTTTCTTCCCCACACTCCCTTCCCCCTCCCCTCCCCTCCCCCCTTCCCCTCGTCTCCTCTCGCCTCTCTCTCAGCTCATCCCCATCACCTGCGTGCCTCACATATGCCTTTCCCCCACCCCTCCCGATTGAAAATAAAAAGGTCAGTGGAGCCAAACTGATAGGCTTGCCCCATTCCCTCCTTCTCCTCGTCCCCATGAGCAGGTGGAGGTGTTTATCCGGGAGCACCTGCGCCCGTTGGAGCGCAGCGGGTTGATCAGCGCGGAGCAGCGGCGGTGGGTGGCGAGCAAGGCGGCGGGCAAGGTGATGGAGCGCCACGGGGGGCGCGCTCAGCCGCCTTCCTCGTGAAGGAGGGGGAGGACGTGCGGCGCCTGGCTGAGCGCTACCTGCGCACGTACCACGTGCGCTTCTCCAATGGGGGAACCGCACCCACATCCTCCTCCTCCTCCCCACCGGCTGGCTGACCTGGTGAAGGTGATCAACGGGACGTGCGGCGCCTGGCAGAGCGCTACCTGCGCACCTACCATGTACGCTTCTCCACCGGGGGCAACGCACCCCCGCCCTCCCCCTCCTCACCCCGAGAGCTGAGTGTCGGGGTGGTGTTGGCTCGAGACTGTGGAGCATGGGGTTGGATTGATAAGACGTGCGGCGCCTGGCAGAGCGCTACCTGCGCCCCTACCACGTGCGCTTCTCCACCAGCAACGGGGCCAATGCCCCTTTGCCCTCGTCCTCCTCCCCGCCGGCTGGGTGATCCCCGCTGCCACACCCACTCGGAGAAGGATGTTCATACGACGTGTGGCGCCTGGCAGGGCACCACCTGCACCGGTGATTGGTACCATGCGCGCTTCTACAAACGCCCCCCTCCCACGCCCCTCCTCCCTGCCGGCTGGCTGGCTGGTTGGCTGATTACCCTGGAGCAGAGTGGATGGAGGCATGCATGGGGCTGGGTTGTGATGTGCCAGGGAGGTGAGGGTGCACATGTGCTCGCTGTGATTGACCGATATGGATGATTTGCGTGCAGGCGTACTATGGTTTGTGAGGGTGCACAATCACAATGTAGTGAGCTGCAGAGGCAATGCAATAGCAGGGCCTTATTCGAGCAGATTCCCTGTGCGCCCTGCCCTGCTGGGTTGCATCGACTAAATAGATTACGCGCCGTGAGATGTTTCATGGCGCTTTGCGTTGCATTTTTTAAGGGTTTGTTCATCGCCCCTTACTGTGTATGGTAAGTGGTTTGGAGTGCTGGAATACTTAATTGCATCATCACTCTTCACTTTCCAATTGTTTTGTTTTCTTTTCATCAGCATTTTGTATTGTACCGCGTCATCTTCATACACGTACGGAACGATCAAAAGTTCCAGAAGCAGCATTTCTGTTCTTGCCGATCAAGCAAGTGAATCCAGCCATGCTTCAAGCATTCCGTCCACATACCACGCACCGTCCGACGCCGTGTCGCGTAGCTGCACTGCGCTTTCTCCGCTCCTCGCTCCTCCCTCCCTCCTCGCGCTCCTCGCTCCTTGCCCCTTGCTCCTTTTCTCGCCGAGCCGCATGGCGCGCGCCCGCCGCGCATCGCCGCCTCCTGCCGCCATTTTGCGCTCGTCGTCGCGCGCCGTGCGTCTGCTACTGCTCGTCGGCCTCCTCACCCCCTCCTTAGCTTCCGCGTCGCATCCACCCGACGGCGGCGACGCCTCGCACTCGAACATCGCCGCCGCCGCCGCCGCCGCAGCCGCCGCGGATGGCGGAATGGCGGACGCGGGCATGGGATTGGGGATAGCGGATCAATTTGTTTCTACTGAGGATCTCCCAGCGGCGAATGCTGCGGTAGATGCGGAGACCAATGCGGCGAGAGGTGCGGCGACGGACGCGGCGGGGCAGGCGGAGTTCGATCCGAAATTGGCGGGAGTAGAGGAGGAGGAGCGATTGGTGGACGAGCTGCTGACGTGGCTGGAGGAGAGAGGCGTGACTGGGATCCGAGGGGAGGAGGCGGCAGTGGAGGTGAGGCGATGGGGGGGGATGTGGGTTCGTGAATTGACTCAGATATTGGGTCGTGCGTAGAGAATGGGGCGGTGAGGTGCTGGGGAGAGGGGTGTGCTCACTCCACCACTGGATCTCATGCGCTCTTCCTCTCTCTTCTCCCCTGCCGCTCTCTCGTTTTTGGCCCCTTGCGCACGCGTGCAGGTGGTCATTGACGCCAACACCACTCTCAAGGCGTCCGGCAGGTCAAGGTGAGTCAACGCCAGTCAAGGTGAGCGATTGGGAGAAGCACACAAACGAGTCAAGACAAGAGAGCGTTGAGTCAAAGGCAGGCAAGGCTGCTGGTTGCAGTCGTGGGTTTCCAGTTAACGCCTGCTGTGGGCGTCATCCTGTTTCCCCATGCTGTGCGTTGCCGTCCTTCGCATAACATCTCAGTGGGCCACTTGTCTTCCCAAATCAGTTACCTCCTCTCCCCCACCTGCAACTTCCCGTCCTTCCTCCCCTCGCGGGCACCGGCACGGGGAATGGTCGCATGGTGCCTCATCCCATCAGCCACCCATTTCCCCCTCTGCCCCCTCCTCCCCCTTCTTCCCGCTCCCCTCCCCTTTCCCCTTCCTTTTCCCCCACCCACCATCAGGGCGAATCTGTGCATGGTAGCACGTCGCCCCATCGCGGAGGGCGAGGTGTTTCTGTCGCTGCCTCGCTCGCTCGCCATCTCGGCTCTTCAAGCGCAGGAGGAGGCAAAGCCATACGAGGGAGAGGTGAGTGATTCGTAATAACTACTGAAGTAGCACCAAGCAAGTGAGCCAGACAAGTCATCATCCCTTAGACTACCGTTTTCTTCCTCGCAACGTGCAATGCCTTTCAAGCGTACCCACTCTCCCTCCTTATGCCTTACATACTTGCATCCGCCCGCACCACACCACGCTCTCCTTGCCATATGCATGCGCATGCCTTCACCCGTACCACCTTTCCCCACCCCCCTCCCCTCCACTCCCCAAAGATCCGTTCACGGCATTGCCAGCCATTCCCACTCCCCACAGCATCTCTGCTTTCCTCGCTCTCGCATCCCTGCCCACGCCACCAGGTGGCGCCGGCAAGCTTATAACCTCTCCACAATATCTCCGCCTCTCCCCTTGCCCCTCCCCCCAGGTGCATCCATTCACAGCACTGGCGGCGTGGGTGCTGAGGGAGCGGGGCAAAGGCAGCGCGTCCCTGTGGGCGCCCTTCGTGCGCCTGCTGCCCGCCCACCTGCCCTTCCCCCACCTCTTCCGCCCCAGCTCGTGCCCGAGCTGCAGTATGACGTCATGCTGGCGGAGGTGAGAGCTGGGAGTGTGTGAGTGCCGCATGGTTGGGATGGTGGTGGATGAGGAAGGCCGTGCATGGGAGGGGACTAGGGCTCTTTTCTCCTGCTGCTCCACTCACATGCGGCAACCAACCCATGAGCACCTGTACCGCCCAAGGTACCTGCGCATCCTCCTCTTCTTTCCCTTCCATGCTCACCCTCCCATGCTCACCCTCCCATGCTCACCCTCCCATGCTCACCCTCCCATGCTCACCCTCCCATGCTCACCCTCCCATGCTCACCCTCCCATGCTCACCCTCCCATGCTCACCCTCCCATGCTCATCCTCCCATGCTCACCCTCCCATGCTCACCCTCCCATGCTCACCCTCCCATGCTCTTTCCTCTCCTCCTTGCCCGCCTCCCACAGGTCGCAGGACACAAGGAGGCGCTCGTGCAAGAGTACAACAAGTGCCGCCCGGAGGCCATCGCCAACGCCACCCAGGAGGAGTTCTTCTGGGCGGCAGGGATCGTCACTTCCCGCATGTTTGCGCTGAGGCCTGCTGCAGCAGCAGAGGCGGAGGACAAGGGGAAAGAGGGGGAGGGGCAGGGCAAGGAGGAGCGGCAGGAGGCGGAGATATCGCTGGTGCCGTATGGGGATCTGTTTGACACCGATGACGTGCCCATCGCTATCTGGCAGGTCAGTATATTGCCACGTGGCAGGGCAGTGCGTTGCCACGTGGCAGCAATCCAGTCTGATGGCATTCGTGCAGCCACACCTCGCGCCTCCCTCTCCACCCTCTTTTCCCCCTCTCCCAACTCCGTTAACCCCACCAGGACACGGGCAGCAGCATAGAGTTCACAGCACTGACAGACATCCCCGCAGGGCAGCACGTGTCGCTGGAGCTGAAACTCAAACGTTATCCCCTTCTTACCCTGCCCACATCCACCTCCTATCCCCCCACCAGGACACAGGCAGCAGCATAGAGTTCATGGCTTTAACGGACATACCAGCGGGGCAGCACGTGTCGCTGCACTATGAGGAGCTGAGCAACGACCGAAAACTAATCCCATCCTACCTCACCCCCCACCCCTACACTCTCTCCTCCTCACCAGGACACGGGCAGCAGCATAGAGTTCATGGCACTGACGGACATACCAGCGGGGCAACACGTGGCGCTGCACTATGGCGAGCTGAGCAACGACGAGGCGGTGGTGATGCGCGCCATGGTGCTGGGCTGCTCAAACCTCTTCCCCCCCTTTCCCTCCCCCCACCCCCACACTCTCCTCCCACCAGGACACAGGCAGCAGCATAGAGTTCATGGCTTTAACGGACATCCCTGCAGGGCAGCACGTGGCGGTGCACTACGGCGAGCTGAGCAACGATGAGGCGCTGGTGATGCGCGGCATGGTGCTGGGGGGCAACTACCGCGACCACATGCACCTCTTCTCCTCGCCGCAGGATGCTGTTCGCTACCACGTCGACAAGTTTCTGCGCGGCTATGGCCACACGCTGGAGCGGGTGAGGGGGAGAGAAGGGAAAGAGGGGCGTGCTGCTTGTGAGGCGTGATAAGACGTTGCCAACCGGATGCACTGTCGCATGTGCATTGCATGTGCTGTGCCCCCTTAGTGTCCCCGCATAAGAATTCCAAGCGTGCCTCTCTCCCCACGTGTCCCACAGACGCCCCTGCAGGGCACGTATGAGCGCGTGGAGGCGGAGCTGCAGAAGCAGGCAGCAGCCCCGCAGTATGCGGGAGTGGCGCAGCGCTTTGAGTACCGCATGGCGCCCGCCAGCCCCCTCTCCGCGTGGTTCGGCGGGCGCTTTGACCCGCGCCTGCTCGCCATCTTCACTGCGCTGCACGCCCTCGTTGTCAACAACCGCAGTGCGTGCCCCTTGCCCTCCCCCGCTCTATCCTCCCACGCCCATTCTCCCTCCTCTCTCTTGGCTCATCTGCCTTTGAACACCCCTCTGCCTGCATGCCACGTCCCTTGCTCCTGTCTTGCATGCTCATACCAGACAGGTGAACCACAATGAAAGCCACTTCCTGTTTGAATTTCTCTTTCCATCCCTCCCTACCCCCATTCTCCTGTGGCATGGGAGCAGAGCCGGATCTGAGCCACGTGGCACAGGTGTCGCTGCTGTACGGGTGGATGAAGGACCCCAAGTCCACCTGCGATGACCTGGCGCGCCTCGTGGACGATGACGTGTCGGACGCGGTGCCGCCAGCTGGCAACGTGCTGGTGGAGCGGGGGCAGCAGCTGCTCAAGGCGTTCCCCACCACCCTGGGGGAGGACCTGAAGCTCTGGCGCCAGGTCAATGTCTGCAAGGCACGCGTGCTGTTCGGTGCGGTGGAGGGGGGTGAGGCGGGTGATATGGGTGGTGGAGAGGGTGTGGATGCGGTGCAGTGCGGTGCGGAGTATGTGAGGGAGCTGAGCGAGTGGGAGGTGATTCTGAGGTATCGCATGATGAAGAAGTACATTCTTCGGCACCTTGTGGGCCGCCTCCTGCACACCTGTGAAAATTAACCCCGCTGCCATGGCCTTGCCGTCATACATAACCTACCCTACCGTATCATGCTGCAGTTGATGGTGTAGCTTGTTGGTGAGTTTGCAGTGTGTTGGAGAGAAATGAGCACAGCAGTGGAGAAAACAGTGGAATGCATGCAGAGATTACACACCCTAAGGACACATCACCTTCCCCCGATAGATAGTGTAACACAAACGAATGCTCCATGGCAACACAAAATTCCTGCTTGCTAGAATCACAACAAAACTGTGGATAGTAGGACGGGAGGCATCTTAGAGCCATAGTAACAGGAGTGCAGGATTCATCCTAGTTGTGCAGGACACAATGAGGAACGCCTCTTGCTACATACGGTACCATACTTGTGAACACCAACTCATAGAACGTTAATAAAGACTTGTGTTGTTCTGGGAGTCCAGGACACAGTGGACCACCTTTGGAGCCACCTCATGTGTGTAGGCTAACTTATAGTACGTTAAACATGGTCAAAATTTACACAAATATTGGACATAAAACCACCCCTGCCAGTCCAGCCAGCTAGTTCCTCCGCCTCTACCCGCACCAGCCGCTGCTGCATCGGCGAGCGCGTCTCACAGCGCCTTGAGAATGTCCTCGGCGCTGCTGTTGGTGAACGCGCCGCCCTCCTCCAGGTTGAGCACCGTCACGACGCCGTCGTCCGCCAGCAGCGCGTAGCGGCGCGAGCGCACGCCCAGCCCCTTGTCGCTCAGATCCAGGCTCGCGCCCAGCGCCGCCGTGTACACGCCGCTGCCGTCCGCCAGCAGCAGCACCTTGCCGGCGGCGTTGACGGAGTCGCCCCAGGCGCGCATGACGAAGGGGTCGTTGACGGAGACGCACGCGATGGTGTCGACGCCCTTGGCGCGCAGCTCGTCCGCCTTGGCGATGAAGCCGGGGAGGTGCTTCTGCGAACACGTCGGCGTGAACGCGCCCGGCACCGCGAACAGCACCACCTTCTTGCCCTGCGCGGACGGAGGAGGGGGAGGGGGAGGGGGAGGGGAAGGGGAAGGGGGAGGGGAAGGGGGAGCGGGAAATTGGGGAAAGAGGTGTAAGGGTGGGTGCAAGAAGGGAGTGGGGCGGGAATCGACGCGGGTGGGGAGGAACGACGAGGGCGATTGAGGTTCGCGAAGGCTGGAGTGAGGCATGACGCGATGGGCGGAAGTGAGATAATTGAGCAGCTATGGCGTTCGGTGCACGCATTGACGGCTCATGAGTTCGAGCATTTTCACAGTTTCCAATATATCCTGGGCTCGGTAACAAGGCAGCTGCAACACTCATCCGCCCGCTCAGTTTTTATATTCCAACGCAACATAGAACAAGCACCGAGGATGCGGTATCCGCGTTACACGCACCTTGGTGAGCGACTCGATAGTGATAGTCTGCAGCGCGCCCTCCGCGTCGAAGTACGAGAGGCTGCCGTCGGGCAGCTTGTCGCCGACCTTGATCGTCGCAACCGTCGCCATGTGTAGCAGAGTCGTCTGAGCGTGAACGGGCGTCGCAGAGCGTCGGAAGTCGCGAAGACGAGCCCCGGAGAATCCGACGGCGGGGGTTCCCTGCTTGAAGGAAGCAGCGGCTGTGTGGAGGGCGGAAGAGCGCGAGATACGCGCGGCACACGCGGCACCGGTCAGTCTAAGGGCAGAGGACAGAGTGGCGGCAGCCATAGCTGAATGAGGGATGAAGCGAGGAGAGCGAGACTGACCTGAGGAGCGAGCAACGGGGATTTTGAATGGAGAGATTGGAATGTCGGAATTCCCAAGAATGGCACCTCACATATCCAATCCAATGTCGTGGTGGCGAACTTTGCGAAAGATACAGAATGTTTCGCAGGAATCGGGGCAGCCATGTCATGCCCCCCCACATGGTCGGATTCAGGAACTCGTTCATTCAGCAGCTGAGGTGTGGTGCCACGCTGTCGCTGCCTGCTTGGCAGCAACTGAGACTTGCCGCGTGGCTCCGTGGGACTGAGAGATCCCACGTGTTGGAGGTGCGTGAAGGAATATGAACACATGGCGGTGTTCTGGTGACTCCTGCTAGGGGGGGAGGTGGAGGGGCGAATGTAAATGATGATGGTTCCGCGGATGTTTCCAAGCCCGACCTTTCCAACTCCCGCTACAGCCGTAGACGGGAAATTTCGGGCGCCAGGGAGGGAAGGATCCGATGGTAAACATGTGGGTACATTTTCCTGGTCCAGAAAAGGGGGTAGCTCATTTCGCGCACCAAAGCAAGACGGGGTACAAACCAAACCAGGGTTTCTCCTTATCGGAAAAAAGAAGTAACCATTTTCCTGGTCCAATTTCGGGGGTAGCCCTAAGAAGGAGAAGTGGTTTTTTTTGGGTTGCGAAGCAACCCTTTACGATCGATTTTGCCAAATTTTATTTTCATGTTTATATTTTTTGTTAAAACATGAAAATAAAATTTGCAAACTACAGTAATACCCTTCCCATACTGTATGCATGTTAAGCAGTCTTGACTACGGTACTGTTCACAGTGTATTAGACCATATGATTTTTTTGCAGTTGTTTAGAGAGATTTGCTGTACTGTTTGCATTACCGTATATGTTTTACTGTTGAATGGTGTTGTGTGATAATAAATTGATGCATGCACAATGCATAAATGATGCTATACAATGCATAATGCATAAATAATGCTATATAATGCGTGTGATATATCATGAATGATGCGCATGCACATGGTAAAATGCGTGACAGTTAAAAACCCAAAAACTAAGCTACCGCCATCCCCTGCCTAGCATGGGGGGGAGGTAAATAGCTTAGCTTTTGAATAATCAACTACCACATGAAACAACACAATCTGTGAAATCTAAAAAGAAAATCATCTCTATCAAATCCAGTTCGAAGTGGTCGCACACGAGTCACTGAGTGCGCCAATGAACCTTTTGTGAAATGATAGATTTGAGATTTCTTTTTAAAGATCAAAGACGTGCGTTGTTATTGCAATGGATACGGATGAATGCACACAGCCACAGCACACACACACACACAAAGACACACACACACATACAAACACATATATAAGATCACACGCATTCACACAAACGGAAAAAAAACCGTAAATGCAAAAAACTCTAAAAACAACAAAACATGCAATACAAAACAATCCTACAGATTACCACTACTATCCACTTCACAAGTAATCTTGGCAGATGTACACATCTGGAACGAAAGCCAGAAGGAAATCTGGAAAAACAAATAGGCACCGAATGAAGGAGAGGGAAAGAAGGAAGAGGGGAGAGAAGAAAGAATTATCAAAATGTGGAGAAAATTGAAAAGAAAGTAAGTCAAATGAGGAGAATATTATAATAACCAAACAGAATGCAATCTAATGGTGGTAAGGTAAAAAAATGATGAACAACGCAAAACGTTAAAGAACAGAACGCAAAAAACAGAGCAAGTAACAAAACAGGAAACAACGATATACCTTAGCTGTGAATTTCACAGAGAGAGAAGAGAGAGAGAGAGGAGAGAGAGAGAGAGAGAGAGAGAAAGAGAGAGAGAGAGAGAGAAAGAGAGAGAGAGAGAGAGAGAGAGAGAGAGAGAGAGAGAGAGAGAGAGAGAGAGAGAGAGAGAGAGAGAGAGAGAGAGGAGAGAGAGAGAACGAGAGGAACAAACGAGAGAGAGAGAACGAGAGAGCGAGAGAGAGAGAGAGAGAGAGAGATAGAGAGAGAGAGAGAGAGAGAGAGAGAGAGAGATAGAGAGAGAGAGAGAAAGATAGATAAAGAAAACGAGATAGAAAGAGAACGAGAGAGAGAACGAGAGAAAGAGAGAGAGACAACCAAGAGAGAACACGAGAGAGAGGAGAGCGAGAGAGCTAGAGAACGAGGAGAGAACGAGAGAGAGAGAACGAGAGAAGAACGACGAAAGAGAGAGAGGGAGAGAGAGAGAGAGGGGAGAGGGGAGAGAGAGAGAGAGAGAGATAGGGAGAGAGAGAGATGGAGAGAGAGAAGAGAGAGAGAGAAGAGAGAGAGAGAGAGAGAGAGAGAGAGAGAGATAGAGCGAGATCTAGAAAACGAGAACGAGAGAATGTAGAAAATAGAGTATGCACGAAAACTACGACGAGTAAAAACGGAAGAGAAAGGAATAAGGAAAACGGCTACGTTACTGAGCAATGAGGTGGAAATCAAAGTTGAGAAAACGAAATAACGACCAGAAAAACAAAAAGTGTCATAGCTGGAAAACGAAATTGAAGGGAACTATATCGCGACAACTATATACTTGAGCTGACGAAGATGCAATCTAGGGAAAAAACGAACATACCAGTGTGTCTAGGAGAGAAGACAAGCAAGAACTAGCGTCTGCTGCTGGGGAGAGTAAGCGAGCAAGAGGAAGCAGCGAGAAAAAAAGGGAAGAAATGAAACCCTAGGGAATGCAAACTTCGTCGCATTGATATTTCACTCCAAGTTAAAACGCGCGAACTGATATGGGGCATGTAGCTCAGTCGAGAGAATGTCAATTAAGATCCGAATGGTCTTAGGTTCGAATCTCTTGGACATCACCTTACCAAGAATTTATTTTAGCGATTGTTTTTCCAATTTCACACTTCCCACTAGTAATCCCCTCAAGAAAAAGCTTCGCAACCCTACGACGACTTCCGTCGCCTCTTGTTTTTTTTTCCAGGGTCATGCGCGAAAAGAAGGACGAATCACCGAAGCAGTCTTCAGTTTCACGGGTGTATCGGTTTTCCCTCCCCAGCACCTCCCTCACATGCCTGTCCCACACCCTCGGAGGAGTGGTTGCCGGAATGGGGGGCGAGGGAGGCAAAATTTGCCCGATGAGGAAGGTGGGGAGGGTAAATGAGAACCTTCCATTCGGTGCACATCCCTGAGGGTAAATGAGCGTTCTGTTGGCATTTACCTTCGGTTTGGTTCAGAGGGGAAATAGGAGGCTCGGCACGGTTTTACGGGCTGACCAACGCTTCGACCCAAAAAACGCAGAGGCCCCTAGATTCGTTTTGAGGTAGTCTGACGCCTCAGAGTACACCCCTCTTGTGAAAATTGGAACGAGAATGAATGCATTGAGCAGCATGAGGAGTACAAGTACCAAACCCTAGAATGTTGTACCCCATATGAGCTACCCCACTACAGCCTACACAGACTATAGTGTATAAGTTTGACACACCCCCATAGGCAAAGTGGGGGAGAACAAGGGGTCACAAGACCAGTCAAGCAAAGCAAGGCAAAGCAAGCTCAGGGTGGATCACAACGTCACCACACAGTCTGAGCACAAGTTCAAGGCCACAAGGCCAGTTCACATGCAAGGTCACATATATATAAAGCTAAACAGGCAGGTATATATATGTAACAGTACAAGCAAGGTCAAGAAGTAAGCAAGTGAGGCAAGGTAGGTACAAGACCTAACAGAGTGCAGAAGCGCTGATGATCACAAGGCGCGAGTGCCTTAGTGAATATATCAGCAGTGTTGGCCTAAGAGGCCACGTAAGCAAGGCGCAGCTGACCACGCTGCTGCAGCTCACGAGCAAGAAAGTAGCGGAGAGCGATGTGCTTCGTTCTGTGCTCCAGTCTGTGCTCATGACACAAGGCCAGCATGGCCTTGTTGTCTACGTACAGCACTGGAGGAGAACGAGGCGGCTCTCCCAGGTCAGTCAGCAGGTAGGTGAGCCAGCGTAGCTCCTGTGCAGCCATGGCCCCTGCGTAGATCTCAGCCTCACAACTGGAGCCGAGAACAGAAGACGAGCGGGTAGACCGCCAAGAAACAGAGCCGGAACCAAGGCTGAAGGTGTAACCCTGTGACGACCGCTGCGTAGCCTGGTCGTCAGCCCAAGAAGCGTCTGCGTGACCAGTGAGGACCACTGAACTATGCCCTCCAAGCACAAGCCCCATGCCCGACGTACTGCACAAGTAGCGCAACACCCTCTTCGCTGCAGCCATGTGCTCTGGTCTGTGTCTCCCAGGAGCAACAAAGCGTGCCAGAATGCTAAGAGGGTATGCAAGGTCAGGTCGAGTGCAGGTCATCAGGTACATGAGGCAGCCGACAAGCTCTGGGTACGGGCCACTCGACTCTACGGACTCATCCGAAGGCAGAGCTGAGAGCGAGTGGCGCGTAGGCAGAGGAGTGGCCTGAGGCGAGGAGTACGTGAAGCCGAAGCGCTGAAGGACCTGCTGCACCATATGTGACTGAGTCAGGGTAATGGTGCGCTGTGCTCTGTCCCTGGTGATCTGCAAGCCAAGGTAGCTGCGCAGTTCACCCAGGTCTGTACACGTGTGTCTCTTCTGCAGCTCGGACTTCACGTAGGCAAGTCCAGCAGTGTCAGCTGTAGCAAAGACCAAGTCGTCGACGTACACGAGGATGTAGAACGGCGGCAAAGAAGTGTCGGTGCGCAGAAACAGCGACGGGTCGGCAGTAGAAGGAGCAAACCCAAGGGCCGCAAGTGTAGTCCTCAGTGTGTCGTGCCACTCACGAGGCGCCTGGCGGAGACCGTAGACTGGCCGCCGGAGGCTCCACTGGGTGCCAGGAGGAAACGTCCCAGTGAAGCCAGGTGGGCGGCGCAGCCAGATCTCCTCGTGAAGGCTGCCCTGCAAGAAAGCAGTGCTGAAGTCAAGAGAGTGCAGCTCGTAGTCTCGGTGAGCAGCTATGTGCAGCAGTACCCGAAGAGTGGTCATCTTCGGGGTGGGGGAGAAAGTCTGAAAGTAGTCAACTCCCTGCCGCTGACTGAAACCACGAGCCACGTAACGCGCCTTGAAGACAGGCGGAGAACCCGGCGACCGCTTCACCCTGAAAATCCACATGCCACTGACGATGTTCGCCCCAGGCGGGGGAACCTCGTCAACGTAGGTGCCTGTGGACTTCCAGGAAGCCATCTCTGCGTCCATGGCTGCCTGCCACTGAGAGGAGTAGGGACCCTCTATCGCCTCCGCGTAAGAGCACGGAGTCGGGATGTCAAGTGCATCCGGGTCTCCCTCAGGGGCAAGCAGCATGGACACGAGATGAGGTGAAACAGCAGCCAAGCACTGGAACTCCTCCTGCCTGTCCTCTAGGACGTCCGTGCCAAGAGCACACTCACCCCCGACGGACGGAGGACAGACAGACTTAGACTCAGCGACGAGACTGGTAGCGTAGTCTAGGCGACAGCGAGCAGCGAAGTCGATATGCTCAGCAACTAGGGCAGACGCAGCAGTAGACTCAAAGGAAGGGTCAGTGAC